GCTCTGGCGGGCAGTCAAGGACACAGACCAAATATATATATATTTTCTAGCACAAAGTCACACCCAAACCCCTCTGCCAAGTTCCAGGCTCAAATCCTCCTGCCTAACGACACCGCCACTCCCACAGTTCAAACCAAACAATCAAAAGCACCTGGGATGTTCCTCCCTCTGTCCCCTCCCAGCCTTCCCCATCTCCGTGGTGGCAGTCTCTTCCTCGCCCTCCCCGTCCAGCCCACCCACAGTTCTCATCTGCGTGTTCCGTCTCCCACGTGGATCCCCACCCCGCGCCCTTTTCCCTACTCCCAGGGCCCCCGTCCACGCCACCGTGAGCCCTCGCCGGCACTTTCGTTTTTGCTGTCCTGACAACCCAGTCCCCACCCAGCAACCAGAGTTAGCTCTCTACAATCAAACCATGTCAGTGGGTGGATGGATGGATTCACAAAGCGCAATGTGTCCCTTCAATGGAGTATCCAGCCATGCAAGGAATGCAGCCCTGACACCTGCTACAGCGTAGATGCACCTGGAAAGCGGGCTGAGCGAAAGCAGCCAGCACACGAGGCCACACGGTGTGCGACGTGTCCCTGATAGACAAGCCCGCAGGGAGAGAAAGCAGAGCAGCGGGTGCTCAGGGACAGAGGAGGTCAGGAGTGGGGAGTGACCGCTCACCGAACACAGGGTTTCCTTTTCAGATGGTGAAAACATTCTCACACTGAATAATGGTAAAGGTTAACCACCACCACGAATGTAGTCAATGCCACCAGTTACATACTCTCTAACGGTTAAAACGGTCATATGTATTTTGCCACAATTTAAAAAGTCCAATTGCGTCCCTCCTCCTGTTTAATACTCCCATGGCTTCTCCCACTTTTGCGTGAACTCTGCCCCCTCTTATTGGCCTCTGCCCTCTGCTCCGACCTTACTTCTCACCTCCCTCTCCCCCTCCTCCAACGCCGTGTGCGGTAATTCTGCCTTTTGGTTTCCCACCAGGTCAAAAGGTTCCCCACCTCAGGCCCTTTGCACGCACTGTCACCCCCTCTGCTGAGAGGGTTTTCCCCTCTCTTCGCGGCCAGCTCTCCACCAGCTCTCAGCGTTAGCTCCCACGTCACAGAGGGGCCTTCCCGACCACCCTGCTCTGGGGGGGCTCATCTCTGTCCCCACCACTCTTCTCAGCCACGACCCCCTGGTCATTCCTTTTATACTATTATACTTTGGTCTTTGGGTGCCTCTCTGCAGAGAGTGAGTTTGACGAGAGGAGGTGTCCACCTCTAGTTCCTCATTGCCTAGCGCATAGTTGGCACTCAGAAACTATTTGCTACATGAATGAAAGATCAGCCAGGTAGCAAGGGAAAGAGACGGAGGCAGGATTTAAACCCCACTCCCTTTGATGCTACCTCCTGTGTTCTTTCTACTCTTCCACGTGATTTGGAACTGTGCAGCAGAAGTATGAGCCAAGTGTGTGTCAGAAACGGGGGTCAGAGGGAGCCACGGCCTTCTCACGGAGCTACATTATCACACATGGGTACGCGGGCCTTGTGCAGACCCCCTCGTGTGGTCGCCACTGCTGTCGGTGACTCACAGCTGCTGGGGAAGGAGCCTCCGGACCCAGGCTGCAGATGCAACTCTGGGAAGTCCACGCCGAGCCCCTGCCCGGGCCTGGCCAAGCTCTCTCCTCCTTCTCACTCCTCCTTCACGCCTTCTCCTAGAGCCGGGCGGGCCTTCCCCCAGGAAGGGAAGTGGTCTGGCTGCAAAGACTGCCCTGGAGGAACCAAAACTAGCAGCGGCCGCCCTCTGTCTTCCCACTGGGCAAAGCCGGCCTTGGCCAGTGCCCCGGCCTGCTGGCAGCGGTTCTGGGCAGCAGCAGACCCAGACCCAGGGCCGCGCTTCGAGCTTCCTCAGAAGGCCCCGTGACACCCAAAGTTGGGACATTCAGAAAACTCCTGGGGCCACGACAGACACGCACTTAAGGGAGCGGAGCTTACCCCATGGTAAGACATGTGAAGAATGGGGGCTAAGAGGGGACTCCCTGCGCAAAAGATCTGCATCAGCATCGCCCAAACCAGGGAAAAAATCCTTCCACGAAAGATGAAGCGTCCCTAATCTTTCTTGTGACATGGGCCCTCTTCTCGGGGTAATGTTTTAAATGCATAAAACAGAGCATAATAAATTACAACAGACACCGTTACCCTGAAATGAAGTCATTGCATTATTTTTTTAATTAATAAAGTGATAAAGTAATGTACGAAATCCTTTGTGAACAGATGAAACTGTACGAACTAAGACTGGTTTAACAATTACTGTGATTTTCAAGTAGTGGTGATTGTAAATTATATTGTGAGATATTTACAAATATTAGTATATATAGTGACTTGAAAACATCTGGGGCTTTGATTGATGCCGAAGTGCCCCCCGGGTGCTGCCGACACAGCTGGTGCCTACATCCCTAACTGGAGGGAATGGTGAATTTCAATTAGAAGTTAAAGAGGATAAAGATGTGATTTTTTCCCCCTCATCCAAGGTTATAGACCTCTTAGATTCTTTCTTTTGCAAGTGACTCTGACCTCAGGATTGTTGGCCTCTCCTCCCCAACTGAAATGGGAGCCCCGTGAGAACCAGCCTGCGCCTTCATCCTACACTAAGCATTTAGAAAGGGCCTACTATGCATCAGGTATCCAGTACTAGTCTACTGAGTCTCTTGGATTTTCTGGGCGGGCATTTGTGTTGATTGAGAATGACAGGTGTTTCTCTTTTCCACCTTTGTACCTCTTGTTTCTTGTCTTATTGCATTGGCTGGGATCTTCAGTTCAAAGTTGACTAGAAGGAGTGATGCGGGGGCACCCTTATCTTATTACGCTGAATGCTCATTTATTAATCCATGCAATCGCCTACTTATGTCATAGAACGTAAAGCCCCTACTGTATACCACATTCTGTGCTGGGGATAAAGATGTAACACAACTGAGATCCTTTTCTGTCCACTGAGAAAACCAAGTAGAGGGATTTCCGGGAAGACAGCCACATTGAGAACTTGACTAAATTCTCTCACCATGCCGACTCCCTCCCTCTGGGTCCTGATTCCCAAAAAGTATGGAAATAGATTCCCGCTGGTGGCCCCAGTCTCCAGGGCATAGGGGAGGTTGGCAGCTGCAGGCTTTCCCAGGACCCCTGCCACACGCTGCCAGGAGGCAGCACGCGGGGGAGGGGAATGAGTGATGCCCCCAGCAGGAGCTGGCCAGAAGAGCCAGCGAGCGGGAGGGGGGGCGGTGGAGGGCACTACTGGAGCCTGCTGAGGCCACGGGCTGTCTGTTCTAAGTCTGCAGCTACAGGCAGGACCCGTTGTTCAACAGAAGGAGAAGTGCTGCTTCCAGGCGGGCAGTCAAGTGTCACCACTTGCCTCTGCCTCTTCCCTCCGCAGCCATCAGCCATCGCTGTGGCACAGAGGCACGAGCACAGAGCACTGAGGAGACCCCTCCGCACAGACTCTCCTCTCTGCTTGGCTGCCCTGGGGCTGCCCTGGGGGCTCACATTTCAAATGGACCAGATCGTGCCTAGGGGACTGGAAGGGGACTGGGGTAATCACCAAAGGAGACTGAGGAGTCAGATCAGACCAAGATGTTTTAAGAAGCCGGCTCCCCAGCAGGAGGTGGGAGACAGGCTGGGGAAGAGAAGCCTCGGCCCCCTGCCTCCGTGGTCTGAGCTAACGGAAACAATAGCCCTGTGGTAGGCAGAATACTGCCCCCGCGCCCCCCCCCCCCAAATACCCACAGCCTAATCCCTAGAACCTGGGCGTGTGCTTCCTCACCTGACAAAAGGAACTTTACAGATGGGTTTAACTCAAGGATCTCGAGGTGGGGAGGCTATCCTGGCTTGTCCCGGTAGGCCCCATGCAATCACAAGGGGCATTGTAAGAGGGAGAGAGAAGGGTCAGTTCTAGGGGAGACGTGATGATGACCCGAGGTTAGAGTGATGCAGCCGGGAGCAGGGGAAGGCAGGCAACCTCTGGGAGCTGGAAAAGGTGAGGAACGGATTCCCCCCAAGCCTCCACTTGGGACCTCCAGAGCTGTGCTGTTCGCAGCCACGAGGTTTGCGGCAACCTGCACTGATTCAGCTCCAGGGAGCTGAGGCTGCCCTCAGCCCTAGCGAAACCAGGAGCAAGGAGCTGCACGGAAGGCAGGTAGCTTTTGCCCTTGGAAGTCTGGGACCAGTGGAACGACTGATTCCAGTGCGAGCAGTAAAATAAGGTGTGCACGGAGTACTGGCGGGGGCTGGGCCACGGGGGGCCCGCAGGGAAGAGGCCTTACCACTGGGCCTGGGAGGTGAGTAGGAGTTGGCCGGAGCAAGGGCTGCAGGCAGGAGGGTTCCCTGGAGCGGGGCACCCCCTTTATATCCAATACCTCCAGCCTCAGCCCAGCTCGAGGGGCGACCTGGCAGCGTCAAGGTAGGCCACCCTCTTAGGACAGTCTGAACCCCCTCTGCCGGCTCACATAGGAGATACTGTGCAGGGGACAAGCAAGGCCATTCAGGGTCACCCCTATGTAATCACGGGGGTGGGGGTGGCGGGGGGCTGCCAGAAGCCAGGCCCGTTTCCCAAGGGAGCGGAATGGGAAAGGGGACGGACCTAGTGCTGCCCCCTCGATGCCGCCGTCGGGAGGAAGTGGCTCCCTCCTCCCACCCCTTCCCCCAGGCTCGCGGGGGCCAGGATTCTCGTGATTCGCGGTTGGCTCCACGGGCGGGACCTTCGTCCATCCGAGGGGCTGCGGGAGGCCCCAGGCCAGGCTCGGGCCTGCGGAGCGGGAGGGCCGGTTGGGGGGAAGCCAGAAATCCAGAGGGAGACCCACAGACAGGCGAGAGCAAGGACCGGGGGACCGAGACCCAGGCCGGCGCCGGAGGCCGGACTGGAGTGCGTTGGCGGGCGGGCCGGAGGGGCGGGGCCGGAGGGGCGGGGCCGGAGGGGCGGGGCCGGAGGGGCGGGGCCGGAGGGAGGGCGGGGCGCCGGCCCGGGCGTGCTCGCAGTTGCAGCGGCGGCCGCGGGCGAGCGGACCGCGAGGTGAGAGCTCCCCGGGTGGGACGCGCCCCCTCTTGGTGTGCAGCCCTCCTCCCTGCGCCCCAGCCCCCCCGAGGAGAGCGGGCCCCCGCCACCCTGCGGGGACCCCGCGGGATCCCAGCCCGTCCGCAGGTGCCCTGGGTCCTACGGTTTCCCAGCGCGGGGGAGCAGTGGCTTCCCCGGAACCTCCGCTTTGCTCAGGGGTACTAGAACCCATTGCAGGGGCCGGGGGTGTGGGGGGCCGGAGACGACACTCGCGGGAACTGGGAGAGAAGCCTCTTGTCCTCAGTTGTCTCCCCTCGAAAGTGGAGTCATGACTCCAAGAACTACCCGTTCGCCTGGAGTTCGGGCCAGGTGTCTTCACTTCATCACAGCCGGGCAGCGGCCGCAGGTGAGGCGGTACCATCCTTGTCTCCCTCCTACAGGTGAGGAAACCGAGACTCAAAGACGGCCACCACTTGCCTTGGGCCACGAAGGAGGCAGAGCCAGGACTTAAACCCAGGTTGGTGTGAACCCCTAAGTCCATTTGTTCCTCATCTCCGCCCTGCCCCATCCCCACCCCAGACTGCAGGGAGAGAAGCCGAGGGTGAGGGGGGGGGAGTGGGGGGGGGTAAAGCCAAGGCTGGGCATCCCAGGAGGAGGCTGAAAGGAGCCAGCCTGCCTGTCCTTGCAGGGCATCCCGTCCTTCACCTGGGTGAGGGGTTCCAAAAATTAGAATGGGGGGTTGGGGCAGGTTGAACTGCAGGAGTGGGGGGAGCGGGGCAGCCCCCTCCAGGAACTGTGGGGCCTTCACTTCACGCCTCCTCGGGGCACAGGAGGCTCTGGTGGGCTTAGCCCGGGGACTTCACCTCTCCGTGCCTTGGTTTCCTTCTCTGTCCCCTGGGGTCAGACGAGGTACCTACCTCACAGGATTGCTGAGCAGATTAAATGAGACGATCGGTGTAAAGGCTTAGCCTAGCGCCTGGACCGAGCCGTAACCCCCTCCAGCCCCATGCCCGTCCCCCTCAGAGCACTGCTCTGTCCCAGACACCTTTAACCTGAGCCCAGTCAGAGCTCTCTGAGATCTGCAGTGTTTCCGGGCGACGCCACCTGCGGCTGAAGCTTCTTGAGTAAGACCAAGACTTGGGGTGGCAACTTCTCCCTGCTGTGACGCTTTGTAGGAGAGGCTGGTAGGAGCAAGGGTTTGAAAGTCTTTGGGCTGCAGCTTACACAATTCCAGACCTGCTCTGCATTCCCCAAGCCCTCCCCCACCACTGGTTTAGCAAGAAGGAGGAAGCCCAGAGCATTTCTGCTATCTAATCTGCTCTCCTCCTGGCCCTGACCCCCAGGCCCTCAGTGGGTTCTACCCCTTGGCATGCTCTGTATATCTGGCCATTCCCACCTCAGCCCCCCGGATCCTCGGCGTTGATCGGGCCTGCTTGAGTCTGGACTCAACTGTCCTGTTACTCTCCTCTGACTTGGCTACCTGTTGTAGCCACACTTCTCTCCTTGGAGATGCTGAGTTCTCTGCTCCCTCAGGGCCTTTGCACATGCTCCTCCCACCCCCACCCCCCTCTTGGGAACGTTCTTTCCTGCCATCTTCTTGAGACTTACCTCCTTGCACCTCAGGACTGCCACAAAAGACTCAGAAGCCTGCCCTGCCCACCTTACTGCAGGGGCCACGCTCACCCGCACTCTGTTGCGTTACTGTTTTTGCTTCCCATGCTCAGCCCTGGATCCTGTTACCTTGCTTGTGTGTTTCCTTGGTTCCCATTTGTCTCCCTGGCTAAACTGTCAGCCTGCCAGAGCCTGGATCTTAGCTTTGGATTCCCTAGAACCTGGCACTGTCTGTACCGGGCACATAGTAAAAGTTCTGATAATTTTAAACAATTGCAAGCCGTGTGTGCAACCATCAGAGGTCTGCCTCTCGTTGCTTAATGGCATTCTTTCTACATTTCTACGCTGACCTCAGAATTGCTATTCCTCCCAACTGCCCACGGCCTCTCTGAGCTTCTCCCTAAAACGGGGCCTGCCACTGTTTCCAGGTTCTAGTCCTAATACCCACTTCGCTTTAACCGTTTTTGCCCAAATTGCAAGGGATTTCTTTTCAGATATAGTTCCCCCAAACTGTTCAAGTCAAGGATGTGATTATTCTGAAGGCACATGCCACTTAAGCACCAAACAGCTGTTTAGAAAAATTATCCCCAGCAATGTATGCAAGTTTTTCTACAGTCCTACAAGCATTGGGTGTTCTTGGTTTTATTTGTTTTGTCTATTTTAATGGGGAGGTCGTGATAGGTTTACATTTTCTGTTGCTTGAGTTACTGAAGCTGGGTCTTTTTCAACGTACGTGTGGGCTCTGTTTCCTGTCTTGTGGAGGGAGGAACTCTCAGAGGGCACCTTCAGTTTTCCCTTCACCTTCACTTGTGGTGATGGTTCCACTTGAGCCCGTCTTGTGAGAGCAGGGTCAGGGCCCCCAGGGGCTGGGACAGGAACTCATGGAACCAAACTCTGCTGGTTGCAGAAACCGCTCTGCCAGTCAAGCAGCAAGAGAAACTCTTTGAGAGTCCATCAGCATGGTACCGTGGGGAGAGAAAGAACTCTTTTTTTTTCTTTTTTTAAGTCTTTGTGAATTTTTCTTTCCCAAACGGTAATTTTTTAAAGTATAAAAGGATCACACAGTGTACAGGGTTATTCATTCAAACATGGAGACACGAAAACGATTGGGAGACAGCCTACATGTTGATGGCCAGTGGTGCTACACGTATTCCCCCAGGGGAATCCCGGGCTGGCACTCCAAGCAATGCACTTAATCTCCAGCATGCTGACATGCAAAGATCTCTGAGATACTGTACTAGTCTCCTGTGGCTGCTGAAACAACTGACCACAGTTTGGTGGCTTAAAACAACGTAAATGTATTACCTTAACCTTCTGGACGGTCAGGTGTCCAAAAACAGGCTCCGTGGGCTAAAACCAAGGTGTGGGCAGGGCTGCGTCCCTTCCGGAGGCTCTGGGGGAGAGGCTGTATCCTCTCCTAGCTTTTGCAGCTTCTAGAGGCCGCCAACATCCCTTGGGTCATGACCCCTTCCCTCCCGTCTCCAAATCCAGCAGCACAAAACCTTCTCATCCCCCTCTGGCTCCAACTGCAGCTTTCACGTCCCGTCTCCTTCTGTGTGTCTGATTCTCCCGCTCTGCTTATCAAGACCTTTCTGACTACATTGGCCCCACCTGGGGATCTCAGCGTCCCTATCTAATCCCATCTGCAAAGTCCCTTTTGCCACGGAAAGTGGCCTACGTCCAGGTTCTGAGGAATAAGTTTAGGATATGGGCATCTCCAGGGGGCCATCATTCAGCCCACCACACCCTGCAGGGAAATAAGCAAGGTTCCGAGCAGAGAGTTGGACTCAACGTTTGTTTAAGGGAAAAAGAAAGAGAAAAAGAATAAAATCTGCATGTGCTTGCCAAGGCCGCATAGGAAATGGGTCAGAGTGGCTGCTTCTGAGAAGACTGGGTAGAAGGAAACTCGCTTGTCATAGTATACCTCTTTGTATTATTTAAATTTTTACTACATGCATGTGTCACTACGTTAAAAATAATTTTTAAGAAGTGACACACAGTCATTGTAAGACTTCAGACCATCCAAAAGCTGAGAGAAGGGAAAAATCCCCACCCCACTCCCGAATCGCTCCCTCTTTCTCCAGCAGTACCCACTGTGAAGAGTTTGGCTATATCCTTGCAAACTTTTTTTTTGTTTTTTTTTAAAGATTTGATTTATTTATTTCTACAGAGAGGGGAAGGGAGGGAGAAAGAGAGGGAGAGAAACATCAATGTGTAGCTGCTTCTTGCATGCCTCCAGCTGAGGACCTGGCTGCAACCCAGGCCTGTGCCCTGACTGGGAATCGAGCTGGCGACTCTCTGGAAAGTCTCCCGCTGCTCAGATGTACCTTAACTGCACCAAACTCCTGTTGGTGGACATTTGGATTCTTTGCTGCTTTTCAGAACAATCTCAGCACTGCAATCTATATGTCTGGGTGTTGTTGTTGTTTTTTAATTGAGGTGAAATTCATATAAAATTAAGCATTATAAATAGTCCAGTGGCATTTAATGCATTGACGACACCACCTCTATCCAGTTCCAGAACCTTTTCATCATCCCCAAAGGAAGGTCCCACCTTGCTGAGCCCTCACTCCCCACTCCCCCCTCCCCCGCTCCCGGGCAACCACCGTCTGCTTTCTGGCTACAGTCACACGTTCTGGATGTCGCATGTCAGTGGAATCCTGTCCTCTGGGATGTTTTGTGTCTGGCTTCGTTCACTTAGCATAATGTTTTAGAGGTTTGCTGACTCTTCATTTTTTTTTTTATTGAAGTCTAAATGACACACAAGACTATTAGTTTTAGGTGTATAGCAATGGTTCTATGTTTATATATATTATAAAAGGTATTTCATTTCTTTCTTTCTGTGGCTGGATGGCATTCCGTCATATGGATGTAACATCCTTGATGAATCTGTGTACATGATACCGGACACTCGAGTTGTGTCCGCCTTTCGGCCATGGACATTTGTGGGCGTGCATTTGACCGAGTGCCTGTTTCGGCTCTTTCGGGTACATACCCAGGATGTATGTCCTTCTCCACACACTTTGAGCTTTATTACTGACTAATTTTCAGACACTTAAATCAAGCTTAAAAACTATTTTAAAAATGCGTAAGGAAATATTGCGAAGTGCATGCTAAGGCGAATGACCGCAGGATGACAGATCCAGACAAATGTTTTACTGTTTTCCAGATCCAGAGACGACGGGAACATGGCTACCTGGAACGAAAAGGTAAGATGACTCGGGAGCCTCCCGGCCTTGACCGGCCTTGACCCACCTGGACAGCGCCGTCATGCGCCGTTTCTAACAGGGTAGAGGGGAGACGCTTCTGAGTTCCAGCCGTTGTTATTAGTCAGAGAAAGGCCGATGGAAACAGCTCATACTTTCTTTCCTTCGTAGTTCCCTATTAAGTTAGGCAAACCAAAAGAGCAAGTGGAAATGCTCGATGCTGGGCAGGCTGTGGTGAAGCCGTCTCATTCCCAGTCTACGGAGGGGCTGGGCCAGCCCACATAGCTGTCCTGGAGGGAAAGTGAGATGGTGTGTATCAGGAACCGTGGAAGTGCTTGTGATCAAACGTGGTCATCTCACGTACGGGAAAGGAAATCACCCATAGAGAGGAAGAAGGGCAGTTAACTCATGGTGCCCTATTTCTTAGCACGTTAAGACATTGTTGACCGTAGCTGCACTATTATTTATGGACTGTGAAGAAGACAAAAACAGGGCCGCCATTTATTGTAATATAATACGACAACTGACACTGAAACCGGTCAGTTGTAAAACACACAGATTTCACAAATGTGGAAATGTGAGAAAATGTGGTCTTTGAATTGGCGATAAAGGTGCAGAAAATGAGGATCAGAAAACGCAGTCGTGAGAGCAGTGACCCCTTGGTGTGGGTCTCAGCCATTAAAAAGCTATCAACAAGTCCGATGCACGTACCTCGTGGGAAAAGCAGGATACAAAGTCTCCTGCGGTCTTTGACTATAATTGTAAAAGACATTGGATTAGGGAGAGAGGCAGGTAAGACAGGTAGATGATGATAAATTGGGTCTGTTTGGGATTATTATGAATTTATTTCCTTTTGCTCATGTTTTCACAGTATTACTACTAAAAGAAATCGATCTAGGGTAAAGGTCTGCTCGCTGGGGTGAATGACAGCGAGGTCCAGACGTGCTGGGGCCTGAATGAAGCTAGGGAGCTTCCGGGGCCTGTCACGGGGCTGGGGTGGGTGTGAGGCCGCAGACTGCGGGGCTTGGGGGGTGGGGGGAGCAGAGGCTTGGAATGCAGAACCAGCGCCCTCCTGGGGGCTGGAGCCTGTTTGTCGGCACAGGGGGCTGGCCCAGCGGCACTGTGGGGCGCTGGGGAATATCGGGCCAGGACCACTTGTAGCGAATAAGCCTCTTAACCGATTCAGAGAACAGGTTCCTTTCAGCGCTCTTACGGAGTTGATTGTGTTTTTAAAAAAAAAACTTGTAATAGGATTGCTTTTAGGAGCTTTGTAATTTTCCAGCTCTCCTAGTTTCTGAAAGGAAAACAACTGTATGATAGGAGAAACTGGCGGGGTGTTCAACCGTGGTTCAGTCCTGGTTTGCTGTAGCCAGCGCTGCTGAGAGGGCTGAGCCGGCTGGGCACGGCTGCCCTTCTCAGAGTCCCTCTCTGCACCTCCCCCCCTCCCTCTGTGGGCCTCCGTTTTCCTCTTCTGCAAAATGGGGGCAGTAACTCCCTGCTAAGTCATGGTGAGGATGAAACAAGAGTGAGCGTGGAAAACACTTGGCAGGATGCCCGATCACAGTGAACACTCACACTCGGGGACTGTGGCCTTGATCATGAGGGTGAGCTGGGCTCGCAGCCCATCAGCTGACCTATTTCTCGTCTCATATGATTGCATGACACCAGCCACCTCTGGGGAACATGGGAGCCAGGGGTGCTTAGAAAGCCCTGGAGCCCTTTGGCTCATTTCTCACGAGGCCTCACGCTGGTGCTCAACCTGGGCAGCGCATGGCAGACCCCGACACCCAGGCCACCGCCAGGCCAACTGAATCTCAATCCTGGGGCACTGGGGCCCGGGTATCGGGGTTCTTTAAAGCTTCTGGGTGGTTCCAGTGTGTGGCCAGGACAAAGAGCCACTGGTTAGACTGTGAGGCAAGAAAAGTGGGTGCCCCGAAGTGTTCATCCTGACCTCTCGCTGGCCGCAATGTCGCTAAGGCACTGGGGGTGGGATCGCCCAGATGACTCATTCACACTTGGGATAGGTCTTGATTTCTAGCTGGATAACTTCATTTTTTTTTCTCCCTCTGCTTTCATTTTCTTTCTTTGCTTTTGTAAACAAAAGAAGGTGGCTCTGGGCCCCCGCCGCCTGGGTCAGAAACCGAGCTCTGTTTCTCACTGGCTGTGTGACCCGGGGCATGTGGCTTGGCCTCTCTGTTCCCGAGTTCCTCACCTGTTGATGGAGACTCAAGCCCACACTTCATAGAGTTTTTGCAGTGTGGTTTAAAGGGCTTTGCACAGAACTCAGAAATGGCAGGTGCTCCCGTTATGATCACTGAGATTTCCACGGCTGCAGATACTCTCTCCCGCATCGCGCCCACCCAGCCTCACGGTTGCCTTGCTGGGTTGGCAGAGTCTTATCAAGACAGGAGGGACCCTGACCCTGCAGGGGAAGGAGAGAAGTGATGCAGTGTCGGGCTCAGCTGGTGGGGTCGGGGGAGGGGGTACCTGGGCTGCCAGCCTGGCCCCTCAGTGCACAGGCAGCAACCCCCTCCCCCAGAGCTGGTCAGCTGTCACCGGTGGTTGTTTCTGTGAACCTCAAACTTCCTCTCCACCCTAGAGAAGGAAAAACTGTTACGCTTATTTAAAGACTTCCCTGATTTTAAAAATAGGCATTCCTCAGAACACAGATCCCCAGGGGCCGGGGGTGGGGGAGGGGATCTTCCTGCCAGGGATGCAGCCACCCGCCAGGTGTGTGTTTGGTGGGGTCCTGCGGGATACTGCCTGAGCAGGAGCCCACCTGGCCTCTGCCCTGATGGGGGCGACAGACTCCCAACAGACACAGACGGGTGGACCTGAACCCACTGTGGGGGGGGAGAGGAGCCCTGCGTCAGTGCGGTGGGGGGGGAGAGGAGCCCTGCGTCAGTGCGGAGGGGGAGAGGTGCCGGGTCAGCTTCCTGGTGCAGGGATGCTCGGGGTGCTGGAGAGAGACCTCCTGAAGCGGGGGAAGAAGCCGAATGGCCAGGTGGAAGAGCAGTGGGAATTTCAGGCAGAGGAGAGTTACAAAGGTCCTGTGGTTGGAGGAACTTGTGGAGTGCAGAGGGCTGAGCAGAGACATAAGGCCCCGGCAGAGAGGAGGGTGGTGGAAGGCAAGATCAGACAGGCAGACGCAGGCCTCGGCATGCAGCATGGGCCTCTGGCAGGCCCCTGGGTCTTTATTTTTAGGAGCGGTGGGAAGCCAGAGAAGAGTTTTTAAATAAGGGAGCACATCGGAGCTCCCCAAGTTCACCCCAGGTTCAACGTTCCACTCGGGGAGCTCATAGAACTCATCATACAGTTTGACGGATGGTTGTGATTTATTGCAGCAAAAGGGCACAAATTAAAATCAGCAAAGGGGGAAAAGGTGCATGGGGTGACGCCCAGAGGAAACCAGGTTCCAGCTAGGGTCACACAGGCCACATTCATCACACCTGCAAAGACCCATGTTATTCCTAGTAAGGTCACATCCTGAGGTTCCAGGTGGCTGTGAATTTTAGGGCAACCACAGCTCAACCCGTGACATCTTCCTGGCACGCAGCTGTCCAGAGACTGGCTGCCTGGCTTTTTCCGGGCCACGTGTTCTAAAGAGTCACACAGCACTGGGGACAGATCCTGGCGCTGCCATTTTCCAAGTGTGTGACTTAGGGTGTGGCACCTCCCTCACCAAGGCCCAAAATGATGGCCTGGACCTCAGAGGGTTGGGTTAGGGATGTACACGGAATGGCGCCTTTCAGGAGCTTAGGGTTATGCTAATACAACAAAGAATACCACCAACAGTGAGTAATAATAGATGCTGCTGCTGTTGTGCCCCGTGGGAGGTTCAGGGGTGGGGGTTTGGATTATAAGCACATCGAGTCCCCAAAAGTTGAGCTCTGAGAGGGAACAGGAAAATGGGGAGCTAAAAGACATTGGGCCCCGGGAATCGGGAATCGGCTGAATTTCTTAAAAAGATGACCCTGTAATCGGGGCTTCCCCTCCGACAGATGCAGCCTCGGAGCCCGTAAAAATAGATGTTCCTGCGAACCAAAGCGTCGCAGGTTCGATTCCCAGTCAGGCCGCATACCTGGGTTGCAGGCCACGGCCCCCGGCAACAGCACATTGATGTTTCTCTCTCTCTCTCTCTCTCTCTCTCTCCCTTCCCTCTCTAAAAATAAATGAATAAAATCTTAAAGGAAAATAGATGTGCGTGAGGACACATTTTCTCCGCCTCTCCTAGGCCCGTATTTCGAGTTTCTTCCCTCTCTCCCCGGCAGTAGCAGTTGTTCCGGCGCAATACCGGTCATGTGTAAAAGCGGGGTGAGCACCTGTGGGGCTTTTGGTTAATTCGTCTATCAGATATTTGTTGAGCCCCTCCCTGTGACCGAGGGAGGAAGTGTGGGCCCCCCGCCCCCTGAGTTGGCAGGCCCGTGCCAGAGATGGGCAACTCCGAGAGGCGTAGTGCCCATGAGCGAGCGGCATGATGGGGGAATAGAGGAAGGACCCTCGGCCCAGGGGCAGCGGTTAAAGAAGACCTCCCAGGGGAGGTAGAATCCAGGTGTCTGGGAGGCCTGAGAGAGAGCCGGGGTGAGACAGGCAGAGGGTGCCCGCGGCTGGGAGGAGACCAGGGCCTGGGGAGGCCCAGAGAGCTCTGCCTTTGTCCCGAAGGCAGCGGTTGGCAGGCATGGGGGTGGGGGTGGGGCTGGAGGCAATGGTGGGGGCAGGTGGGAAAGGTGGGCAGTGGGGGAAGGGGATTCTGGCCACCACTGTGGGGAGGAAGGGTGGGGCAGGGGGCCGCATGGGGAGGCTGGTGCAGGTGTTGTGTTGGTCAGAGGGGGTCAGACGGAGAAGAGGTGGAGGGTGAGTGGCGTTGAAGAGGTGACATCGATGAGCTTGAGGGAGAGAGAGGAGCTAGGGGGTGGCCGTTGGCTCTGGGCTTGGGCAGCAGGATGGCTGTGATGTCACACCCTAGGGGGACATGGAGGAAGGAATGGATATGGGGAAAGGATAAGAAGTCCATTCACTTTGGTCCTGGCTGATGCAGCTCAGTGGATTAAGCCTTAGCCTATGAACTAAAGTGACTGGTTCGATTCCCAGTGAGGGCACATGCCTGGGTTGCAGGCCAGGTCCCCAGTAGGGGGCGTGCGAGAGACAACCGCACATTGATGTTTCTTTCCCTGTCTTTCTCCCGCCCCCTCTCTAAAAATAAATGAAAAAATACACAAAAAATGTCGTTCAGTGTGGGTCACAGCAGACTGGGGCACGATACCTGATGCGTGGCTGAGACTTCGAACGTGAACAGCGTTGAGAACACAGGTGTGCGGAGCGCGCCAGAGCGGGGAGAGTCACCCTGCGCCAGGACGGGGTCGGGGTGTCAGGGACTTCAGATGGCGTGGGGGCAGGGACATGGTGCAGGACACTGAGAAGGGCGGCAGCCAGAGATGGGGCGGGGGGGGTGGGGGGACCGAGAGGCGAGGCTGTTGAAAAGAACCGAGTCAGCAGTGTGGCAGGGTGCGGCGGGGCAGTCACGTAGGCGGGGACCGCAGTTGTGGCTGTCATAGGAAGGTGACCCCAGAGCGAGTAGGGTCAGGATGCGGTGGGACTGCGAGGGTTAATGCAGGGGAGCTGCAGCTGGGGGGTTTCCAGTGTTAGGGGCCTCTGCTCCCCTAGGCTTTTAGGGCTGCAAGTGACAGAAAGGGCTCAGTCCCTCAGCTCATGTGAATGGAAAGGCTGGGGGTTGGAGGCCGGCAGGAGGCGACAGCAGAGAAGTGAAGCATCTGCAGATGACGAGGCAGCCTGAGTGGCGGGGGTGCGAGTTTTCAAAGTCGAGTAAGAAAGATGGCGGCGGCTGCGGAGGGTCACTGCTGCAGGCCAGGCTCTGCCTCCCTCTCCGAGCCGGCCCTTCCTTCCACTGCGGGCGGAGAGTCCGGGGTGGGCGGTGGATGTCAGAGGCCCGGCCACGTCTTCACGGCGAGCTATATTTTGGCTCCTTTCTGGAACTTTTCTGCTTCTGAAATGACAGATTTTTTTTTTTTTTGGACTTAAAACCAGAGTTTTCTGCTCTGCTGGGCGCTGTAAATATTTTCATCCCAAATTACTAAAAGTTGCCTCTTTACTGACCACAAGGTTTCAGAAAGAAAAATTTCCTCTCCTGCAGAATATAAATGTGGTTTTTGCAAGGCGCCCGCAGGCTCCCACCACACGGAAAACTAGCACCAGAGGGCTCCATCTGCCAGATGAGGCGTCTGGGGAGATGTGGCCAGCAGCCACCCAGAGGGCCACAAGGCCCGCCCGGCCCCTGGCCAGCCCCGGGAACCGAGCGGTGGAGAGTCCCACCCGAGACGGGCCGCACTTCCGTCCGGGAGGCAGGCCACCAGCGCCCTCAGCCGACCCCGTGAGGCCCCTGTTCGCAGTCAGGGGTCAGGTGAGACTCTGCCCATGCAGACTGTACCTTCGTGGACCTTAAATGTTCGCGTGGAGCGGGGAGTAATAAACAAACAACCACACACGAAAAATTTCCAGTTAGAAACTGTGATAAGGGCTCTCAGAGGGAAAAGTAAAGACTATAAAGAGAGGCTGTAAAATTCAGAAGGGCTCTGACTTGGACTTCAGGGGTCAAGAAGGGCCTCTCGGAGGAGGGGACATTTCGGCTGAGGCTTCGAGCACGAGGAAGAGTGAGCCAAGCTCAGAGAGCGGAGAGAACATTCCAGGTTGAAGGAAGAGCCCGCATGAATGAGGCTTGGAGGCGGGGAGAGTGGCATGTTGGAGGGACGGAGGGCGGCCGGCGTAGCTGGAGTGTGGTCACGGGGCAGGAGATGAGGCCAGACCCCTCAGGGCCACGTACATCATTGGAAGGATCTTGGATGTTTATTCAAAGAGCAAAGTGCAGGGGGCAGTGCTACGGTCAGAGGTGAGGGTTTATAAGACCCCCTTGGGCTGCTGGGTGGAGAATGTGCCGGAAGAACTGGATGGAGGGAGGGGGATGGCTCGGAGGCTGTTGCAGTGTCCTGGACCAGAGGATGGAGGCTTGGCCGAGGTGGTGGCGGAGGAGGAAGTGGATGGTGGGGGCGGGAGAAGAGAGCCAGGCAGGCCCCAGGTTGTGGACAGGGAGTCAGAAGGTTCGCTCTCGGGAGGTGATGAAGGGGTCACCAGCTCTCCTTGGGTCTCTTAGCACCTGAGGACGTCTCAAACCAGGGGCTCCCTTTTACACTCAACATGTTCTTTAAGATTTAACCACATTGCAGCATTCATTCAGTCACTTAAGTACCTGAATGGTTGTGTGTCTCTTACGTGCAAGGAACTGAGGGGACAGTGGCAGGGAAAGTCCCATTCTTTCTCATGGAGCTCACGGTCCAGCTGGGGAGGCAGCTCCTGAACAGATGAACACGCACATGCATAGTGCTGAACAGCAATCAGTGCGCATGGAGATGAATGGAGCAGGATAAGGGGAATGCCGTGCGACAGGGGAGGGTGGCGGGACAAGCTCTCAGAGGAGGTGACGTGTGGGCAGAATCCTGGCCTAAAAGAAGGTACGAGCCACGCAGATGTCCCGGGGAAGAGCATTCTAGGGAGAGGCTCTTGGGTCTGCTGGAAAATCATTTGAGGGTTCCAAGGACGGACCCGTGACACGACCTCAGTTCCATTTGAGAAAGTTCGTTCTGGTTGCTGCGTGGAGGGCAGACACTGGGAGGAGCGGGGAGCTGCTGCAAGAGACGGCGAGAAGTGATTGGTGGGAACCAGGGATAGCCATGGAGATGGGCGTAGCAGCGAGTGGTCTTACCTGGAATGCGGTTTGAAGGGGGAGCTGACAAAATTTAGGGGCAAAATGGTAGGGGCAGATGTTGCGAGTGAGAGAAAGGAGGGTCAAGAATGATGCCAAGGTCATTGGCCTAAGGAGAGAGGCCAATGAAATGCTGTCAGCTGAGATGGGGAAGGTTTGGGCGATGAATGAATGCTGTTTGGGACATGCGAGGGTTTAAGATAGCTTTTAGGGCCTTGGCCAGTGAGGCTCAGTTGGTTGGACCATCATCCTGTACACTGAAAGGTTGCGGGTTCGATTCCCGGTCAGGGCACGCGCCTAGGTTGTGGGTTCAGCCCCTGGCCAGAGTGCATACAAGAGGCAACCCATGGATGTTTCTCTCCCTGTCTCTCCCTGTTTCTTCTCCTCTCTCTCAAATCAATAAGCATGTCCTGGGGTAAGGTTTAAAAAAAAAAAAAAAGATGGATGTTAGGTAACTACTGGTGACGTCCTGTAAACAACTGGTATCATGTCTGGAGTTCGGGTGAAAGACTGGGACTGGAGAGACTGTTGGATAGTAACGCACCCTCGATGCAGAGGGACCTTTAAAGCCCCGCTGCCGAATGAGACCCCCTAGGAACACGGTCCGGAGAAGAGAGGCAGTCACAGGCCCGAGCCCTGGGAATGCAAATACTCCAGTGTAACGTCTCCTCTCTCGGGGGGTGTCCAGCCTTTGGGTGTCTCTGGGCCACACTGTAAGAAGAAGAGTTTTCTTGGGCCACACGTTAAACACGTTGCGATATGTAATCACAAAATCTACCCATTTCTTTGGGGTTCTATGCCTTCTTGAAGCAATTTTTCCCTGTCCTGAGGTCATGAGGATACTTGTGTGTATTTTGCTCTTGAGACTTTTGAAGTTTTTTAAAAGTCCACTTATCTCTGTTAATGCTAATGCCTCCAAAATGGATTCTGTGTGTGGTGGGGGATGGGGCCCTTCCCACAGACCTGGGCTGCCACCACCATCACACCCAGGTTCCCACGGGGGCCTGGGTCTGCTTTGGGCTCTCTTCCCCTGCTCCTCAGACCACGTGGCCTGTTCTAGTGCCCATACCCAAAAGTCTTCATTATTGAACTTTACTTTTTAAAAAAATATTTATTTATTTATTTATTTATTTATTTATTTATTTTTAGAGAGAGGGAAGGGAGGGAGAAAGTGAGGGAGAGAAACATCAGTGTGTAGCTGCCTCTCACGCACCCCCTACTGGGGACCTGGCCCGCATCCCAGGCATGTGCCCTGACTGGGAATCGAACCAGCAACCCTTTGGTTCTCAGGCCGGCACTCAGACCACTGAGCCAGGGCCATCACTGAACTTTATAAAAAATGTGTTACCTAGGTAAAGAGGGGAGGGTTCTTTGCGTTTTGCTTTGAAGGCATCTACCTTTAAACAGCCATCCACAGTGTATTTAAAACCTCGCTGGCTGAACCTGGGAAAAATCCATTCGCTTCTCACCTTTCAAGCTTCCATCTGCGGCATGAAGCAGGGTTGGGGGTGTTCGCTTTTCTGTGAAACTCTGATTACTTTTACTTTTGGCCACCCCTCCCTCTTCCAACTCTCACCTCCGGTTATTCAGGCTGTGATTTCTTTGAACCATGAGCCTGTTCTTCCGTCCTTCACACGTGGGCCTGTGGCGTGTATTTTGTCACTGGGCTGTAGTGCCAATGCCGTTGGTTACTGCCGGCCAGACCACAGCGACAGGCCTGACGGGGTCTGGTGCTTCCTGTTGCCTCACCAGCGCTGAGAATCTGGTTTCCAAAAATAAAAGCACAAGAAACCACCGTGACCTCACGGACTCTGTGCTCTCTCGGCGCCCTGAGCCCCCGGGACTTTTCGTCACGTCTGTGGCCCGGCCCAGCCGGGGGCCCTCTCCCTGCCAGAGAGACCGGGGTCCGAGTGGTCCGGACGGGCTCTGCGGGCCGCCCTGCTGGAGCGCTCACTCTCTGTCCCCTCCCTTTAGACAGTCACCCGCAGGGCCAAGGTGGCTCCCGCCGAGAGGATGAGCAAGTTCCTGAAGCACTTCACCGTCGTCGGCGATGACTACCATGCCTGGAACATCAACTACAAGAAATGGGAGAATGAAGAGGAGGAAGAGGAAGAGGAGGAGCAGCCGCCACAAAACCCCAACTCGGCCGAGGAGGGCAGAGCTGCGAATCCGAGCACAGCCCCCGCCTCCCCGCCCAAGCGCCCCCTGGACTTCAGGACCACGTTGAGGAAGCTCTTCAGCTCCCACAGGTTTCAGGTAGGTGGGCAGAGGCCCGAGGTGCCCGGGGTGGGGCACAGCTGTCAGCTGAGAGTCACAAGGTCGGGGCGGGAGCCCATCTGGGGCCACTGCCTCATTCATGGTGCACGTGACCCCCGAGCACTGACCACGTGCCAGGCGCCCGGACAGCACTGGGCACACAGGGCAGGTTCCATGCTATCAAGGATGGAACAGATCATAATTCAAAGGTCCGTCATCTGATAAATGGCTAAAGAAAATGTGGTCTCTCCCTAGTCGGCCATAAAAAGGAACAAGGCCCTGACACCAGCCACCAGGGGGGTGAACCTTGAGAACACGATGCTGAGCGAGAGGCGCCAGACACCAAAGGCTGTGTATTTAGTGACTCCATTTATACGAAATGTCCAGAACAGGCCAGCCTGTACAGACAGGGAGCGGGATGGTGGGAGTCACAGGTAGGAGGGAGGGAAGGGTGGGCGGTGACCGCATGGTGCCTACAGGGCTCCCGTTTGGGATGGTGAAAATGTTCTGGAACTACGCGGTGGGTGGTCCCACAACCGTGGGGATGTACTGAACGCTGCCGAACTTGAGGCCAACTTTAAAATGCTGCGAATGGTAAATTTTGTGTTATGCAAATTGTCCCCCCACACACATACTCACCAAGTAGATTAAAGGGTAAGCATGGGAGCCAGAAAAAAAATGTGCCTGCGTTTGCTCAGCCAACGCTGTGTGCCAGCCCTGAGGTGACAAGGCCGGGAGGGTCCCACGCCTCGCCGACTCGTCCCCGTGGGGGCCTCGGGCTCTGCTTGTGCGGGGCGATGCGTGAAAGGCCGACCGGCCGTCACACACTGCCGACTGCCAGGCGTGGTCACGGGGAGGACAGGGGAGGGAGATGCTGGACTTCAAAGAACAGCAAAGGGCATGGGGCTTCCTGCAGAGTTCAGGATCTGTCCTCACATCTTCTGACTGTTGAAGGCCCAGTGCAGGCGGAGTCTGGCCAGCCCTCAAACCCCAGCCTGCAGCCCTCAGGAGGGCAATCGATGATGTGTAGAAGCGTGTCTGAGTCCCGGGAGAAAGCAGGAGGCCCTTGTCAGCCCAGTTGCCAAGTGGAGCCCTTTTGGGGACCCTGGCCCGAGACAGTCCGGTTCCTACCAAGAGCCCAGGTCCTCTCTGGAAGCGGAGGGAAGCAGCCCTCGCCTCTCCTGTCACTGACTTTGCTCCCAGATAAAAAAGGAAACATTGGTTTTGGGCGTTCATCGCTGTCGTGCGGCTGAGAGAAGGAATGCCGGCCCAGCCACCCAGCACAGCGCTCTGCTCTGCGGCTGTGACGGGAAAGGAAACGTGGCATTAAGTTGTTGGGGTTGAAATCCCAAACCCTCAATTTCAGGAGCGGAAGGAAGGAGCCGGCTTCCTGCCAGCTGCAGGGGGAGCTCTGGACCACGCCCCTCTGGGAGGTTCCCGTCTCCCCTGACACGGCCCACCAAGCCACATGGGCTGGGGCTGGCCCCCTGAGCTGCGCCCCCCAGGGACACTAGTACTGGGGGAAAAAGAAGACTGACTGTCATAAAATAAGTAGAGATGTTTATCCATTCACCTAACAGTCGTTTCTCAGCACCCACGGGCTGGGGACACAGCGGTGAGCATGGGAGGCACCTCCCAGCTTTCACTCACACGGAGGATCCGAGCTCAGCGAGGCAGCAATTCCAGAAATCACCCAGAGGCTGGCCACATGAGGAGAGAAGCCCCCGGCAGGCAAACAGAAGGGGGCTGTGAGAGTCCCAGGGTGGGGGAGACCTGTCTAGGATTGGGAGTGGGGGGTGGAGAGCTGTGGTGGAGGAGGTGATGTTCCACCCCGAACCTGCGGGCTGGGCAGGAGTGAGCTCTGCGGAGGGGAGCGGGGAGTTCTCCAGACAGACAGACGGCCCTGTTGCTCAGGGCCCCAGGTGGCCGGGCGTCTGCAGTGGTTCGGGACTCCAGAAGGGTCCACGTGGCACGTGTATGGCGAGAAGAGGGGCCGCTTGGCAAGAGAGGAGGCTCTGGAACGCCATCATCCCTGGGCAGTGGGCAGCTGTGGAAGGTCCTCTGTGTGGGTGGGAGCAGGGTGACCTGGGCAGATTTGGAGAGGGGCTCAGAGTAGCAGCAGGGAGGCCACCTCGGTGTGGGGGATACAGGTTTGGGGGTTTGAGCTCTGGCTGGAGAACCAGCATACAAGAAAGTTCTGGAATCCCTTTCTTAGGTGCAATCACCACTTATTCCACATGGTTTGAGGTGGCCAAGGGGTCATGATATATAGTTTTTACTGCTGTCACTCAGATGGGATGGCACAACCAAGGGAAAAAATACAGGGTGTGTGGGGCCCGTGTGGAAACCACGGTGGGCATGGTAACCGGGCCAGCGGACCACAGCCGTGAAGGCGGGAGAGCTTCACGTTCACTACCGGCTCCCTGTGGCTGGGCCCTGTGCTAAGCACCGCTCACTGCCTCGTGTTGTGCTCCGTTGTCGCTCTGGGGTGGAAAGTGTGACCCAGGAGGACACTGGAGCTTAGAGTTAAGGCTGAGGCTCGGCAGAGTTGGGAGCTGTGTGCACGGTCCAGGCCAAGGCGGGAGCCGGGAGCTGGCCCAGGGCCGGCCGCCCCGTAGCCTGCCCGTGGACCACTGCATTCTGCTGCGGCTGTGGCCGTCTTTGCCAGGGGGCTGGGGGGCGTTATTTGGAACAAACCAGCCTCCCTGAATTCTCAGGATTGTTCTGTGTGTGTGACTCCCCTCAGAAGTAGTCCTGCCTTGTGAACTGGCAGATTCGGGGTCATGGGGTTTAGTTCCGAGAGGCCCGGGTAGGGACCCAAGCACTGTCGTTCTGTGACCTTGAGCCTGTCTGTCTCTCTTGTCAGAGGAGAGAGTCATGTGGCATAAGGTTCGGCATTCCAACGTGAATCATTCCGTGGCACTTATTTAGCACATTTCACAGTGTCGTGCGGCCGTCGCCGCTCTCTCGCTCCAGAGCGTGCTCGTCGCCCCGAAAGGGGAGTCGGCCCCCGATGAACAACCCCCTCCCAGCCCGACAACCTCGAACCCTTCTGAGTCTGTAGAGTTTGCTGTTCCGGGCGTTTCGCCTGAATGCGGTCGTGCAACACACACAGTCTCGTGTGCCCGGCCTCCTTCACGCCACACAGTGTTTTCCGGGCCCGTGCGCGGTGTGGCACGGAGGAAAGAAGTCAGCACCTCGTTTCTTTTGATGGCTGAATAGCCAGCCTGTTCTTAAGATTCCTGTGCCTTGGTCTCCAGTCAGGCCACTTTGCTCGGAAATAAGACCAAGGAGGAAGGAAGAAAAAGAATAGGGGAAAAATACCCACCAAGAGCTTGAATCTTTATTAAGCTGCTGAATTTGGATATGTGTGAGAGCTTCATTGAAAAGCAGTTGGCCGTGCAATTTCACCATAAACCATGCCATCAAATAATTCCGTTGCTGAAATCATTAGCTACAGGTTGAAGTACTCAAAAGGTTTATAGTCCGTTCTCACGTAGGCCTGGATATGTAGAACTTCACCCTGCAACTGCAGGAACTGCCAGGTAAAGGCAGGACTAGCCTCCAGGGCCGGGAGCCCGTGCCCGGGAGAGCGTCAGAGGCGAGGCCCCGGAGGGAGCAAGTGGGGGCCCACAGGCTCCGCAGGAGGAAAGTCACGGGGTGTCCTCCGGGGTTCCTCCCACTGCTGCCATTTCCATCACCCCCACGTGGTCCCCATGGTCTCCCTGAACACTGTCACCTCCACCCCGCCACGAGTGTCCTCACCAGAGTCGTTACCACCTGCGTCCCCATGACCACCACCATCGCTGAGATCACCCCCTCCCTGCACCCCAGTCCCTTCCACCCTCTTCTGCCAGCAGATCCAGACATTGTCTTTCTTTCTTTTTCTTTTTCTTTTTTTTTTTGACATTGTCTTTCTGACAACTGTTCTCAGTCCTCCATCTGCTGGGGCAGGTGCCTCGGGGCTCTGGGCTGAAGCCATCTTATGTGCACGGCGGGCATCGCTGTGACCCACCCGGACTGGGCAGTCCCGGGAGGTTCCCTCCACACCTCCCATCTGTGAGGCTGCATGTGTGTGTTCATTTACCGAGACCCTTTTCTGGGCTCACCCTAGCAAGAGCAACTCACAGAACTAGAAAAATAAAAACGTGCCAGGCCTTTTTTTATTACCTGCTTTTCGCCATTTAGGAATTAGCCGTCGGGTTTGAGAGAGGCTGAGAAGTGGGGGCCGAGCAGAGAAGAGCAGAGCCGTGAGGGAGGGCCCGTGAGTGAGCCGTGCAGAGATGCTCCGGCACAGGGCACAGGCGCTGGTCGGAGGCGGGCAGGCCGGGAAGGCGGCGAGGAGGCGGAGGGGCTCCTGTGGAAAGGAGCCGGCCCCAAGCGGGCCCCCTGCGGGGTGCCTGGGCTATCTATGGTCAGCAGCCTTCCGTTTTTGGTGTTTTTCCCTAGTGGTGCCGTCCTGATGTTTCAAAACCAGCCCTTTAAAGATGGGATGAGGGGTCCCGGCTGGGTAGCTCCCTTGGTTAGAGCATCATCCTGATACGCCAAGGTTGTGGGTTCGATCCTCGGTCAGGGCACATACAGGAAGCTTCCAATGAGTGTGTAAGTAAGTGGAACAATAAATTGATACACTTTTTTTCCTCTCTAAAAAAAGAAATCAATTAAATTAAACATGGGAGACGGGTCTCCATCTCCGTCTCACGGTTTCCCACTCCTTGCCTCGGTCCGCAGGTCATCATCATTTGCCTGGTGGTTCTGGATGCCCTCCTGGTGCTGGCCGAGCTCATCCTGGACCTGAAGATCATCCAGCCCGACAAGAATAACTACGCCGCCAGGGTAGGCTGTCACCGACCTTCTCATACAGTTCGCTTCTGTGGTCTGCACCCAGCGGGGGACAGGGTGGGGCAGCAAACACCCGCCCTGCGGCCTCGTGAGAGGAGAGTGTGGGTGCTTTTAGTCCAAGGGCAGAGGAGATGTCTTCCTTTCCAAATTGTAGATAAGCGTTTACTACAAGCAGGAAACTTTCCCACGTCAACTGATGGCTATCCCGCACCGCTGAGCTGAGCCCGCCCCTGATTCCAGGGGGAGGACGACCCTTTCCCGCCCCCTGGAGGCCGAGCGCTGACTCTCCTGTCGACGCGCCCATGGGGTCCCCAGGCTGGAGCCACTGGAGGGTGTGCCGCCGTGAATCCCCTCACAGTTCCTGCCCTAGGCCCTCCCAGACATTCACCCAAGGGGCAAAATGGATGCCCCATGGGGAGACAGCCTTTTTTTTTTTATTTTTGAAAATGTTTTTTCTTAGATTTTATTATTTTTAGAGAGAGGAGAAGAGAGGAAGAAAGAGAGGGAGAAAAACATCAATTGGCTGCATCTCTCACACCCCCAGCCTGGGACCTGGCCCACAGTGCCCTGACCAGGAACTGAACCGGTGACCTTTTGGTTCGCAGGCTGATGCTCCATCCACTGAGGCACACCAGCCAGGGCTGAGGCAGCCATTTAAAAAACAAACAAACAAACAAACAAACAAACAAACAAACAAAACTGGGGACATGCTTTTTTAAAAACAAAATTCAATTGATAATGTGAAAATGTCCTTTCGAGTGGAAGAGGGAGGGAAGAAAAGAATCCTTCCTGTTTGCGGCCTCTTTCTGGAGGCAGCTGTCAGGTTTCCCTCTGTGGCCAGCCCAGTCCTTCTGGAGACGGGTTTCTTTTCTCTCCTTCTGTTCGTCTAACGGAAACAGGAATGTACCTGCTGTTCTGTCTTGTGCCTCTCTTATTCCTCAGTGTTTTATCATGAAAACATGGCAAGTATACATTTTGCTATACTTGCTTTATATCTCTGTATCTTCACAAACACATCCATACAATTACTGTCTGACCATTTGAAAGCTCGATATCCTGACACTTCACCCCTAAATACCTTGATACACACACAAAGTTCCTTCTCTTACAGAGCCATAACAGTATTATCACACCTGAAAAATGATCAGTTCTGTGATATCTAATAGCCAGTTAGCATCCACTGATGAGCACTGGCTGATCAGGGATACAATGCGGGTGCAGACTCATTTCAAATTCTGTCTTGTACGTCACGTGGTGGTTCTTTTATAAGGAACGGCTTTCCTCCTTTTTCCTGGGTGAGTGCATGTGTGTGCATTATTTACCCCTTGCTGTGGACTCGTGGGGTTCTTTGTGTGTGTACTCAGTGTATCACAGTCCCAGTCATTCTTTTCGGTATTCAGATTGTCCCAGGTTTGGTCACGGTGAGCCCCCAAGCAGACTGCTGCGTCCTTTGGACGTGACTCCGTCGTCTTTGAGCATTTCCTTGCTTTCAGGCCCAGGGAAAGCAAGGGGTAGGCCCACGGTGCTGTCCCAGCTGACTTCGAACTTTCCCTGCCCCCGGAATGGAAATTGTTACTTTAGTAAAGGCCAGTATTGATACATCAAGATCTAGGAACGCTTTGCTCACCATCTGCCTTGGTGATCATTTCCAGTCAGTCCACACGGATCAGCCTTGGTCTTTCTGACAGTCTGTGCAGTGCTCCATGGGGAGGTACCACGATGCGTTTGACACCTGCCCTCTAAGGAATATTATGATTGTTCTACAAAACATGTAGAAAGTCTTTTGCTTTGCAAACAATGCTGCAGTGACCATCCTTTCAACATGTCTCCGTGCACACGAGTTTCACCGCGGGGTAGATTCCTAGCAGTGGCGTCGTCACTGGACCTAAGGGGTCCGTTTGCGTGCACATCAAAGCCCCATAAGATATGAGCAGGACCCTGCAGCCAAGAAAGTAAGGGTTTACGAAGGAGATGGCGCCATGCTCGGGGTCACGGGTGCTAACGCTCAAAGACCTGACTCCCCCACGGCTTCCGGGGGATGGACTTGATAGGGGCACGGTCATCACTCATGGTGCCTGAAGCAGTTAGGGCCGTGGTCCCTGCTGACTGGTGGGCACTAGGGGAGGGGTAGTTGATCGTTGTATCTGGCCCTGCTGTCGGCCAAGGAGTCACTGTGATTTTGCAAGGACTTGCTCGGTGAGATCGTTGCGCTTTCCCGGGTCCAGAGCTGAAACACAACCGGGGCCAAGAGGCTATCTTCAGTTTGACTGAAAACTCCGTCTCTGTGGTCAGCAGACCCAAGACCTTGTTCCCGAGACAACTAGGTGCTGACCAGAACCCCGTCGTCCTGAGAGCTTAATGATTAAACACGGGGAGGGAGGAGGGCGAGTCAGGGGTCTGGGGCCGGTCAGTGAGTGACATCTCTTCCTGGCGGCCCGGCAGGTGCACTCAAGGCCAGCAGGTCTGTGTGACCTGCGCCGGGCTGGCTCTGTCTGCTCTCACCGTGCTTCCTCGTCCCCTCCAGGTGTTCCACTACCTGAGCATAGCCATCCTGACCTTCTTTATGATGGAGATTTCCCTCAAATTATTTGTTTTCCGCTTGGAGTTCTTCCACCACAAGTTTGAAATCCTGGACTCCATTGTTGTCGTGATTTCGTTCGTCCTGGACATCGTCCTCGTGTTCCAGGAGCACGAGTTCGAGGCTCTGGGCCTGCTCATCCTGCTCCGGCTGTGGCGCGTGGCCCGGATCATCAACGGTATGTCCCCTGCGCTCCCGGGGTGTAGGGTGGGGGGGCGGGGGGCGGAGAGCACATGCAGAGGCTGCCAGTCATGGTTTTTCCACGCTGATTCCCTCCTCCCCTGCAGTCTGGAGGAAAGGGGAGTCGCCCACTTGGTGTCCCACCGCCACCTCTGTGCTCCGAGGGGAGCTACCTTTCTCCTGCAGACCCTGCTTCCTTGGTTGCTGGGTGTCTGTGGGAAGGTTAAGGCTGATCCCTGGAGTGTTTTACCGAACCGTGTCCCACCTTGGGAGGGGCACCATCCCAAAGGGCGCGAGGAAGCTGGAAGACCCTGGACACCGGCCAGACCCCGCCCCCTTCCAAGTCACAGCACGCGGCTGCAGGATGGAGGGGGAGGCTCTGAGAACTGGGGCGTTTTCCGAATTGACCCACTGGACACTTTCTGGGGACGTAACACCTGCGTTGGACCCCGGGAAGCACTGCTTATTTGTACCCGCCATTTGTGCAGGGCGCCTCTGTCTCAGAGGAGCCACGAGCCTGCCGGGACTCTACGTGACATCGTGATCAGCAGGGGGTCGGGTGTTCAGGTGCAGGCACTCAGTTGCTGCGACGCCTGCCGTGTCAGAGTCACCTTCAGCGACTGCTTTTTAAAAAAAGGAGAGTCTGACGCAGAGGTGGGGTGGGGCCCAGGCAGGGTGTCTGCCTTTGGGTGCCGGGCCAGGTTCGAGAATCCCTGCACTAGGCCCCGACGCGACATATCAGCTGTGGGTCACTGTCAGGGGAATGAGCGCCAGTGGGGCCCGCTGGAGGTCCCATCGTCACATGGAGCTCTTCCCTTGGTGGCACAGTGAGTCCTGTCACGGCCTCCTGAGCCCAGTGCCGGCTCGGCCGCAGCGAGACCAGGCAGGGAAGGGCCGCGCCTGCCGGGGTGTGGGGCTGCGCGAACGGCTGTGCCTGGGGGCACTGGGGGCTTCGGGGCCCAGGTCAGACGCAGTGACTGGAGTGAAGCCCACTAAGACCATTCATCTGGACGCTATCAACGGAAATCAAGGAGGATTTTCAGATACAATTGATGATGCTGATGCTAGTTGATTATTTCATTAATCAGACAGAAAGATACCCTGTTGGAGGCTGTGCACAGTTGAGGTGGATAAACCATGACTGATTCTCATCACAACCAGTCACTGCCCGTTGCCACCACGGGGAGACCTGTCTTTGCCCAGGAAACCAGGACTCAGAGGTTCGGTCACTTCCTGAGGCTCAGTGGCAGCAGGACGCAGGACGGGCTGATGCCCGTGACCGCGCTGCTGCCACGTTTCGTGACGGGCGTGAAAGGTCTGAAGGAGCAACAGGAGCTGCGCCAGGTTCAGTGAGACAACCGAGAACGTGGGGCTCGGGGCCCGTTGCTCCCGGGCCGCGTGGGCACCACACGCGTGGGCAGCGGGCTCAGTCCCTCTTGCTTGGAAAGGGGAGGAGCTTCCCCAGCTGCGGCGCCATCTTTTGAGGCAGTGTTCCCCCCACCCCCCCTGCCCGTGGTGTGGGCTTCTGGGAGCCGTCGGATGAGGCTGCCAGTGACCCTTCGGTCGGCCAAGATTTAGGTCCTTGCCCGACAACTGACCTGGCCACAGCTGTGGGAGCAGAGCTGGGACAGTGACGGGCCCGGCGCCACGTGCCAGCGTCTCCAGCTTTGCACCCCGGCGAACCTTTCCTGCACACGGCTGCCCCGCAGTGCCGTGGCCAGCGAGCTCTGTGGCGAGGAGCTTAACGCTCATCAGCTCGGTGATTGTGCCGGAGGATTTCTCAGCCCATGGGAACGGGAGAGAAATGTTTCACAGCTGTGGAGCTCAGGAGTGACGTCTGGCTCTCCCAGTTCCGATGCCTTTGACTTGTCTGTCACCAGTCTTCCCAACTGCACACATTTATGAGGGACGCAGAATTCTCTTTTCAAGGGGTTCAATTAGAAACCAGTATCATTAAGACCCTCAATTATTTTTCAGGGATAATTATCTCGGTTAAGACACGTTCCGAACGGCAAATGTTACGGTTAAGACAGATGAACATACAACTGGCCGCCAAGATCCAACACCTGGAGTTCAGCTGCTCCGAGAAGGTGAGAAAGCACTCCTGGGGAGACGCCCAGCCTGCAGCACGGGGCCCCTCCCCGCCAGGCCTGCGCCCTCCGCCCCAGCACCCTCCCCTTGGCCAAGTCCTCCTGTCCTTCAGGGTTGCTTAGGTATTGCCCCCCTCCCAGAGCTGTGCCAGGCGCCCCTCCCCTTGTCCCTGCTCTTGTCCCCTGTGACTGCACAGCAGCTGCTTCCCGCAGGCTGATTCCACCGGGAACGTGGGCCCCCTTCAGTGCTGCGTCCCCGATGAGGCTTGGAAGGTCAGTTCAGTTATTGTCTGCTTTTGTAACAACAGGAACAGGAGATCGAAAGACTGAACAAGCTGCTGAAACAGCACGGACTGCTCGGCGAGGTGAACTAGAGGCGCACGCGCCCCACTCCGCCGAGGAGGCCCCGCCCCACGGGCTCGCGCAGTGAACCAGGACGACGGCCGTCCCCCCGAGGCCATCCACAGGGCAGGCTTGGTCTGCTGCCGTTGCCCGCCTCCCTCCCAGCTTGGATGCTGGAGGGACACGGTCTTCCGGAGGGCGCTCTCTCTTCCTTGGTGTGGCCGAGAGCTTCCTTTCCCACTCCCACCTGCGCTGTGTCACAAACGTACCATAGGCTGTTTTCCCACTTGAACTTTACTCTTGCTTGGAAATGTACAACGGAGCTGGACAATCACTAGGCGTATATACAATTTAACCTCGTCAAGTGTACAGCTTGCACAGCTCACACGGACACTGAGGCATCCTTTCATGGGAGTGCTCTGAAAAACAAAAGGAGAAAAGGAAGCCGTCTCCGCTACCAGCCCATTCTAGAAAAGCCTTTTCTATTCCTCAGCTGTTCTAAACGGCCTGTCTTACAGCGGCCCCCCCCAGGGAGACCGTTTTCAGACACCCGGCCCCCTCCTCCGAGTCATCCAGCTGCAGCCTCCGGCTTCCAGGTGGCTCCACCAAATTCGGCCGCCTGACAACATTTTTCTCAATTACTGTACAATTAATGTATAAAATCAACTCTCCTCCCGCCCCGGGGCCTCCTACTATATTCTTTCCAGCTTCAACTGCTTGGAACTGCTCTGTGGCGCCCCACACCAGCCCACCAGCTGGAGAGCTAGCTAGCGGCAGTGCCTGGTACAGGAATGGCAGTTGGACCCAAGACTCCACTGTAATTAATGTGACATTTCGGGGAAGATCCCCTTTGGAGGCCTCGTATTATTCGACTTGCATAAGGAGTTTATACAATATTTCACTATTTTCAGTACTCATTTCAGTGGGAGCTGGTAGGGAAAGAAACCCCGAACCAGAAACAGTGAGTGTCTCGGCAGGAACTCCCTCAGAGCAGGGGCAAGGGAGCTGCACGCAGCCTCGGTGCCTGCGCGACCTCAACGTCTGCTCTCTCTGCCGTCTTCCCAGGGGTGCAGTTTGGTGTCCACGCACAAGCAAGGCCAGGCGGTGCCCCACTCGGAGGCCAGACCCAGTAGAGTGAAACTCCCAGACGGAGGGGAAGGAGCGGAGAGGGCAGGTGTGGTGTTTTGGGGGCAACCTCAAGGGCTGGCAGAGTGATAACATGGGGTGTTTCTGAGGGCCCCACACCCACTGTTCTAGAGGTGTGGCCTAGTTTCCTTAATTAACAACTTACATCAAACAAAGGGGAAGAAGAAATTGAAGGGCAGCTTGGCGTTGATGGTTGGCCGAGCTCTGAAGCCCGCCTGTGCAGGTGCAGACACGTCCACAAACATAACCGCAGTGGAAATGAGAACCGTCCTTTCGTTTCCTGGGCTGGCCTGCGAGAAGCAGCCAGAGTGAGGCGAGCCCCGCCGTCCTGCATGTTCCCGGGGCCACAGACACGGGACGCCTCTCCTTCCCTTCTCCTCTGATCGCCGTCAGTCGGTCCATGAGTCTGACAGGTGCGTGGCGGGCTCATCAGCCATCGACGTGGGTGGGAGCGACCATTCCTACCCAGGGGTCCTCCCTAACACATCAGTGCCCATCACAACTCGGTTTCCCCGAGACGCTGGAAGAGCAGCCCTCAGCGAGAAGGCTACTGTGAATGCAGCCATCGTCAGGGGAGGTGGCTCCTCTGAGGAGGATAATGTGACGGCCACACTGTTTTAGGAACCCAGATTGTTCCCACTTTCATTATAATCTTTCCCACAAAATAATAAATTTTACTATCACACTTGCGTCTCGCCTGGACTGGTGTCTCCGCCTATCCCCGGGAGCTGCAGCCGGGCCTACCTCAGGGAGCGAGGATGAGACGAGGCAGGCAGTGACGTTGACCACTTTAGCCTGTGGGTTCAGCAAGGACCCGCACTTGGTCCACTTCACCTCTAGGACCAACGCCACTGGGAGCTGGCAAGAGTCCTGCAAAACAAACGCCGTTCATCGGCTCGAATATTATGCAACCCCAAGTCAAGCTTAATCTGAAGTTCAGTTTTAATTATGAAACGTCTCACACATTACAGAACGTTCTGAACCGGGGAATGAATAGACTCTAGAAGTTAAGATAAAAACTGCTTAGAGAAAGCACGTATTTTAAAGTGCTCAATGCTCCAAAAATATCTTAACACTTAAAGCACCACTTTTCCATTCCCCCCTAGTCCTCCTGAGTGTAAAGACGCCAGCGTTACCTGGGAGTCACAAGCCCAATACCCTTCGGGGCCTTACCTGCCCTAACTCCTCCTACCTGCCGACGCGCACCCCGGAGATACTTTAGGAGAGAAACGGGCCTCGGGTGGGGAGGAGAGAGAGGGTGGTGTTATTAGCAGAAATTAGACCTGATTGCAGGTCCTGTTAAAATGCACTTAGAGGACATGTGTCTGCTTTTCATTTATCTGACTCAGTGGGTTGGCGGTGAAGGTGTCACACCCGGGGGCAGGCAGGGTCTGTGAGTTGTCCGAGGACACTGGCGACCCTCCAGGGGCCAGAGCGCTGCTGCTGGCCACGATCCGGCCGCCTGGTTCAGGCTGGAGCCTGGGGAGCTGGGCTCAGGCACCTGCCTCGGGGGCCCTTGTTCGGTCAGCCCCAAGGCAAAGGCGGGAGTGGGCCTTCCCGACCTTCTTGCTGCCTTTAGGTCTCTTGAGCCGGCAACTGTGACTACTGTTGAAGCTGCACGAGGTGCAGGAGGGTTCCGTTGTATCACTCTCCTTTTGTGTGTGTTTGAAAAATTCCCACAATGACGAGTTTTTTAAAGCACATCTCTTCAAGGCATGAGAGGCTAGCAGGGGTGCTACGTTCGGTGCCTGCCAAAAAGGCACCGGTGGGACTCCTCAGCTGGGAACTGCCTTTTAAGCAATTTGCAGCTGAAAGACCCCTGAATATCCTGGTATTAGGGGAAGATGCCACGCGCAGCTGGTATGACTGAGCTTAGCAGAGGCTCCCCCATCACTTCTACGTGGGTTTCCTGGGGGGCTGGCACCAAACCCACCCGGGCCCTCTGAGCCCCCTGGACCAGCACAGACCCTGGCAGAGCTAATGTCCCCGCTGCTGCCTCTCCTCCCAACCTATGTTTTTCCTTCGGAAGGAAAGCAGTAACTACACGTCTCAATCCGTCTCCAAGAAGCCGGACGCCGTTGGCCTGGTTCACTGAGGTGGCAGAGCTGAGCCAAGACTTTGCGGCTCAACAGCAGGGACTGAGAAGTCAATGGTCTCTGGGGGGAAGGGCGGGATCAAAGCCGGTCCTCACCCCCACTGTCCCTGCTATAAATATGCTAAGCAGATAATGAAAGGCCTGAAGAAACTGTGACAAGAAAAAGCTGGGCAATTAAAGGATAAGATGGAGAGCACACCGCCTCCTCCGGTGACAGTGACGGGCCAGCCCACACTGACTGCTGAGACAAAGGAAGAAGGTGGGCCGCGGAACCACGTGTGATGGGGAGTCTATTTGTAGCACGTCGACTTCCATTAAACTCCTGGGAACTTGGAGGTGAAAGCTCTCGTGGGTGGGCTGCCGTGGGACAGCCCTGGGGAGGAACAATGTCTCCGCCTTTGGAGACAGTCCCCACGCTCACCCCCCATCTCGGTGCCTAGAGAGGCCTCACACAACCCCAACAGTGACAGCGGGAACGGTCGGCATGGTGACAGGTGGCAGGTCCCGTTTACGGAGTGACCACTGGGCACCACGAATACTGGTGACCTCATGAACTCAACAACCCCATGAGGTTCGGACTAGAGCTATCTTTCCCATTTCGCAGAAGAGGAAACGGGCCCAAACCCGTGACATCAAAGGCAACAGTGTGAACAAGGGGCAGAGTCAGTGTCCCAGACGCAGGCCCCTTTGATAACAAAGCCCAGCTTCCCACCCAGAGCCATCTGCCTCCCACGGGCGAGGAAGGGAAGTGGGGTGGGGGGAGAGACCACCAGCCCGTGGCCCCCAACTCCCCGTACCTTCACGTGGGACGCCTGGGTGACGAGGCGGACGGGCACCCAGTCCAGCACGTCCTGGGCCGGGGAATTTCCGAAAGGAGCCACGTAATCTGGGAAGCCCTGGCCCTTCAGCAGGCGCGTCACCTTCTCCACGACCAGCGGACACGGGACAGCCCTGGTCAGCCTTCAGGGAAGGAAAGAGAGGTCAGCCGCCCGAGGCTGGCGCTCACCCCGGCACGTCTCCCGGGCCCCAGCACCGTGGCCGCTCTGGCCAGTGGGTCTCCTCCCTCTCCAAAAGGGGGGTCGTCTCAAAGGAGCCGCAGTGCCTCCACCTTCGGGGAATCTTTGCTGGCCGGGGAGGTAAATCCAAACAATGTGTCCCCAACTGTCCGTCAGGCAGCCCGGACAGGAAGGGCCCGTGGCCCAACGTCGGGGCAGCACTGCCTGCCCGCGCCCCTCCTGGCGCAGCCGGCGTGTTACAGGCTCCGAGGGGTCCTCCAGCCAGGGATCGGGTTTCTAGCTTTAATGGGCATCTCCCAAACACACTGGACCACAGACCTGCCCCTGCCACCACCCCGTGGAGATGTATTCCACAGACCCCCCTTTGACACATGCTGGCTAAAGTGATCAAACCTGACCACACAAATGCTGGACACTGGTCTAACCCAAGTCATGGTAAGATTACCCCTGGGGAGAAGTAGGGGTGGGAAGCGAGTGGACGGTGGGGTGGAGGGTGGCGGCGAGAAGAGCCCAATTTTCGTCTTCCGTAAGTGGGGGGACTCTAGAAATAATCTATACAATGAAAATATCAACAGATATAAAAACTAAAATATCAACAAATGTTTAAAGAATCTCGGGTCAATTTCCAAAAACTCGGCAACAGGAGTTGAAAACGACTGCCCCGGGGTGGGGGCGGGGGCCGGGGCAGGGAGGGTAAGAGCTGCTGTCGCTGTAACGAGCCACGCGGAGCTGCCTGACACTGGGCATCACATGCACGTCCGACCATAAAGAGACAGATCCAAAGCAGCGCGTGCAGGCTTCCCCGCACCGGCGTTGCCGTGTATCGTGTGTTAACACTCAGAAATACAGGAAGGCCGTTCCGGGGAAGTAGCTGTGCTGTGAACTCAAGCGCTATGCAACCTTAAAAGCAAATCATACAAAGTCCTGAGATTTTTAAAAATAATCGTAATAGTTTTCCTTTGAACCATGACACATGGTTTATGGTTTTGAGACTTGAAATTGGACATCAAAACATCTATAAGGTATTGATTATTAAATAATCAATAAGGTGATTATTGATAAGGCTACTGCCCATCAATAATTGTAACAAGGCACCTTGAGGCTTCCACGGGCACTTGTCAGTGGCGGGTGCAGGTGGCTGGTGAGCAGGGGGAGGGCGGACGAGTTTTATTTTCTGATCAACCCAAACGAGTTCCGGCAGAAACAAGTCACGCCCTTACCGCAGTTTGCAGCCAGACTGCACGTTGTAGCCGAACAGCACGGGGGCGCGGACCCCCTCCACTGCTAAGCAGTCCTGCTCTGCTGTGCTACGGAGGGTAGTGAGTTGTCCATATCTGTTCACGGTCTGGACGATCCCAGACCTTCGGACAGTTAAGGGATAACCACCCAGGGCAGCAGCAGTCCGACCCTCAGGAAACGGGGTCACGTGTGGGACCTGAGACCGGAGCGAGACCCAAATGTCTCTTCTCCGGGCCCCTGGGGCTCCGACAGCTATTTCCCAGGAGAGGGTGAAAACGGCCATGACTACTTCCTGGATCGGTAGGTCCTCAGAAGAAAAAACTTTTCAGAAACTGGCCCTTCGACATTGATTCCAAGCTTTCAAAGTCGCTAACTTTGTTTGACTCTCTGTGAAAGTAAACACATCTGAATGTCCATCAGCTTTTCTGTGTTAAGATTCCATTAGAAAACACTGACATTTTCCTGGGTCATGCTGTCTCACCGCCACCCTCAAGTCTCCAAGGAGCCCCACTTGCTGTGCGGCCAGACCCTCCCCCCACCAGAGCCCCCCAGAGGGAGCTCTGGCGGAGACCAGTCCCTCCAGCCCACGGGACCCTCGGAGCTAGAGAGAAGCACGGCCCACACGCGTGGCGGAGGGAACTCAACCTCCACAGACCCAGAAAGGATATCCCTTGCGAGGCTGAAATCCGGCAACCAGCGGGAGGCCCACAATATAACCAGGGTTTCCACTGAGAGGAACTGGCTTCGTATTTTGCTGAAAGACAATGCGGGGATGCCGAGTAATTCTCACTTTAAAAAGGAAGGGGCGGAGGGAAATGAAATGCTTTTCATAATAAAACCTGGGACTGCCGACCAATAAAAGAACGCCTCCCCTGCTCAGGAGCATGGATACGTGTGCCCAGCGGAGGAGTGCCTCCCGCTGTCCAAAACAAGCACGCCCGCCTGCGGGGGACCTCGGTGCCCAGCGGGGAAGGTCGCAGGCCCTGCCCGAGTCGCTCAGACCCCGCAGGCTCGGGGCCAAGCTTTTGTTCAGTGTGTGTGGGGGGGTCGGACGTGGTAATACTTCTCAACTGCGGTCATTTTTTTTTTTTCACTCACAAGTTAGAGGTTCTTTTTACTTGGCGATGAAATACTTGTAGCAAATGGATCAAACTTACCTGAATAAAACGAATTTCAAACTTTTGCTGGAGTGGGATCGCTGCATCACTGACTGTCCCCAGAAGGAGGGAGAGATCGGCTTTGGCTATTTCACCAGCATCTGTGTAGGTGAGAATGTACTTCACCTGCAAACCAAATGACACTTCGAATGCGCCTGTTCCGTGACCTTTCCATAGCTCCACTCACAACTCAAATGCAATGTACACAGCAGGGAGACGCTTTCCCGCTCCGCCACTTGCAGAGCTCTCCCTCTCCCGTCCTGTTGGGTTACGGGAGGGGCTCCTTCCGCACCGCCCCTGCTGACACACAGGGTCCTTCGAGCCTCTCTGGACCCAGTGACATGAGTCCCAGGAAGCTGGTCTGGGCAGGATATGATCGGTCTGTTTCTGCAGAGGAAACATATTACAACAATGGCAACAACAACACGTTTTGATGTACTCTCGTAAGACGCTAGGTTTATGAAGAAGCCACAGGATTGGTCTGGAGACAAAGATGTGTCCTCTGATGGGACAGCGGGAGGCCAAGTCAAGAAAAGCAACACCCAGGGTGGGCCAGGACCCCTTTCGGGGGCACCAGTGAGACCCCCCCCCGGGCCCACGCAGTGGAGTCTGCCGCGAGCACGTGGAGCTCTCGCAGCCAGGTCGGGCGCCCACCTCCAGGACGACGTGGGTGCAGATTGTAGCGGCCCCGGTGTCCACCAGAGCTTGCGTCCACACGTCAGCACCGTCCAGCCGGGTGAGCGTGTTATTTAGGGACTGAAGGATGACAGACCGAACAGTGATAGGGACCTGCGAAGTAAAAAAGTCCTGGGTTACTGGAGACACTGCAACAGGGGCAAACAGGCTGAAATACCCTTGAAACAAATCTCCAGCGACACACTGCCAAACAGGGAAAAGCGTGCTGCGGAAAAACAGGCATGCTCTGTAACCCCACGTTTGCGAACATACAGATATTTCTATGTAAACGCACATATTCGCTCACGGAGAAACTACTCGAGAAGCACGTAGCCGAAGCTTTCACTGTGGCCACCTCTGAGAACCTGCTCCCACAAAATCCTGTACACAAGTGTCCAAGGAGGCATTTGGGAAGCCACAAGCTGAAAGCATCCCAAATGTACATCAGTGGAGGAACGGGTAAATAAAATGTGCTATATTCGTGCAAAAGACTATTATTCATCCACACAACATACATGAACCTTGAACACACGACGCTGAGTGAGAGAAGCCAGGCACATACTGTGTGAAAGGCCACGTATTGTGTGATTCCATCTACACGAAACGCCCAGAACAGGCAAACCTACAGAGACAGGAAGGACAGGAGTGGTTGCCGGGGACGGGGGCAGGGGACGAATGAAGCGTGACCGCTCATGAGCTCAGGGTTTCTTTTGGGGGTAATGAGGATGTTCTGGTGATAATGGTGATGGTTGCACTGCCTTATGAATTGGCTGAAAACCACAAAACTGTATGCTTTGAAACGGTGGTGAGTTTCACGGTAGGTCACTTGTATCTCTCACACACACACACACAAAACTCTCATCACACCATCAAACGCGTGTACACACTCACCTCCACAACACAGCTCCTACCAATAAACGTACTCACTGCGCACACACATGTGCACACCCTCCATAGTCCCGGGGTACACCCCCCAACCCCCACAGACTCCCTGAACATACACTTGGCCCAGTTCGCACACGACTTCTACCCCACACGCACGCATGCGCAGTGGCGGGGCCACAGGCTCGAGCGCGCAGACGAGTCCGTCCCGCCCGACCAGGAAGCCGGGTGCGCCCACTGCCGGCGACCGACCCTCTGCACGTGCAGCCCGCGCCAGCAGGCGGCGAGGCGGCGGGCAGTTCTTCAGTGTGCGGAACCTCTAGCCGCTGGGCCTCTTTGTGAGACAAACCTGGCACCGGCTCTAAACCTGGCATTGGCCCTTAGAAACCACCCTCTCCAGTCGTCTCTGTGGCTTTGAACTTTGCCCTCAGTCATGTGCCATGCTGTTTATAATTCAAATCTACTAAATGTTTAAGCTATCATTTTACAGATAAAAAAGCACTTCTTCTGTGTCTGCTCCCAAGGCCGAGAAGACCTGCAACTGTCCCTGTTGGTCAAACCGCTCACACAAGAACATGACACGCTCTGGAAGCGACAATGAGCTGTCACAGGACAGAGGGGCAGAAGGGCGACACCAACGACCACAAGGCCCTCTGCATGACACACCACACCGGTGGGCTGAAGAACTACGGAGGGAGTCCCAAGCTACAAGCTCATTAACTTTTAAGTCATCAAAAGATAGCCCTGGATTCCTTTAGGTGAACTTAACGATCCCTGATTCGGCAATGATTCTGGGCGGGGTTGGCAGGAACCGAAGGGTCCAGTTTACACAAGCCGTGGGAAGACCCGTGGGCAGGGCAAGGGCTGCACAGCCCATCCACAGCCACAGCCACAGCCACAGCCACGGAATGAAAATGGCGGGGATGCTCTGGTTCCCGCGTGTCCCATTCAGGGGTCGTATCCCACCCCAAACTGAAGAACTAGCGTGCACTTAACAAAGAAGCCACGGGGCCAGGACGCCACCTGTCACTGAGGGCCCCATAGATGTGGACGGTGATTCCAGCAATCGCAGGGGGCTTCACTTCATGGGGAGACTGGATCCATTTTTTATATCTCTGATTCTCTAACAGACCTTGGGAGTTGCTTTTAAAAAAAAAAAAAAGAAAGAAAAAAAAGAAGTCTCTGATATCGGTTAATAGCTTGTCTTTCAGAGCACAGACTTGAACCCCACCCAGATCTGAGTTGGGAATCCTGGTCCAGCCCTTCCTGACTGCGTGGCCGAGGGGTGCAGGCAGGAAGTGCGTGCGGCTGCCCTCGAGGCCTGGCGCCAGAAGAGCCAGGCCAGCGTCGTGGTCTCTGGAGCCGCACAGCCGGGATTCCTGCCCCGGCTCTACGACATGCACTGCGTGGCCCCGGGCAAGTAATTCATCTGCCACTCGCAGGACAGGGGGGACAATCACAGGACCCAGCTCCTGGGGTTGCTGAGATGACCACAGGGCTTCAGGCACGTGTAGCACCTGGAACCACGAGCCTCTCGGTAACACCCCGTTATCTGTCTCATGACAGGTCCTCCCTGTTTGACCGAGCCAATCCCCTCGTCGCCCACTCACTTGACACACAATCCACTGAGTGCCCAACACATACCGGCCACCGCCCTAGTGCCAAGGACATGTCATACACAGGGACGCTGCCCCCACAGTTCAAGCTTTGAATGGTAGAGTCAAAGCACCTTTTAGTGACTCAGAGGTAGTTGAGAGCTAGTCCAGTGATTTGCAAACTGGGTTCCTGGGAGCCGTAGGCTCCCCAGAGGAAACACACGGGAGAGACGGAGCGGCCCGGCAGGCAGGGAACTTCTGGCCACCGCCCTTGCTCCAACCGGGCGCTTCGGATCCAACCCATGTCACACACTGGGGAGACTTCTACTTGCGATTTCCTCTGAAGGAGCCCTACAACTGCAACACGTTTGAAAACGCCTTCACAGATGAGGCCGGCCCGGCCCACACACACTAGTGTGAAGTTCAAAGCCACGTGACTATTTCCTTTCAAATATCGACCTCAAATGCACTTGTGTCCACGGGTTTCATGAGATCAATCACGGGACCTGTCACTGTCCCGAGTGCTTCCTGTGTGCCAGGCGCTGCACAGAGCACGTCATGTGCATCAAGGCCTATCATCCGCTCGACACCTGGGGGACTGAGGGGCACGCCGCACGAGACAGTAATGGCAAAGCTGAGTTCTGGACACGGCAGACCGATCCCACAGGCTCTGGGAGAGTACGGTGAGGCCGTCGCCTGTGTTCACAGGCAGGCAGAGGGCACAGACCTGAGAATAAGAGGTTGATTCACGTTCCTTCTCTCGGACGTAGCCACGCAGAGACGATGGCCTCGCCGGAGCCTGACAGAGCCCCTGGGCTGGTGGCGACAAGGCTTGGAACGGAACCCACCGGCAACTCGACCCCTGAAGCTGCACCGAGAGTGCTCGCCGCGCACCGGGCGTGTGCGTTCCCTGGGGAACCGTCTGTGTCTCCCACCCTGGCCGGCTGCACCCTGGGAGCTGGCCGGCTGCGCTGACAGCAGACCAGGAGACGGCAAGGGTGGCCGGGAAAGCACAGACGCCAGCCGCGCCAGTGTGGGATTGCAGAAGGCTCATCTAGTAGAGAGTTTCCTTATTTCGTGTCTGCTTGCTTTTTGACAAGGATTTTCATTGTTGGCAGTAAGGTACCCTTCTAATCGTAAGTGTATTCATTTCAAAAGGCTCAGAAATAAGGCAGCATATCATAAATGAACTTTCTATTAAGAAATACTCTTACCTTTGTTTGTGAATTAGGTACCTAGACAAAAACAAAAAACAAAATGTATTAAAAACAACAACAAAGTAATTTTATCGCTTTTTTTTCCAGAGTGTGGGCTGAAGGGCAGATTCACCTTATTAAAGACTTCACAGAGAGGAAAAGAGAATATCCTTAATCGAGACCTGCCATCTACACCTTTTAGTATCTACGACATAATCAAAGAGGTAACTTGACATTTTTCCTTCCATATTCGTCTCCTTCAGAAGGGGAGCTTCATAAGGCAGCCCGACAGAGCTGGCCGTAAGGAAGCCCGTGCGCTTCGGGGTGATTGTTCGGGATTTTCTGCGTGGTCATCGGTGACACGGCCCCGTGAGGGAGGCCTGGCTCCTGTCCGCCCGGTCACGAGCACTGTGCTTGCTGGACAGATATCGGCACTTTCACAGCCCCCTCAGCGGTCCTCTGCCTCCTCCACACAGCCAGGGCTGGTGTTCTGAGGTCTTGCCTCCCTCCTCTAATCATGGGACACCCCCCTGTGAGGCCCACGGGAGCTTTGGGGAGGGAGGTGAGCAGACACGTCCAGGGAGGCCTGCGCTCCAGGAGCCGTGGGCCTGCGTGCCCGAGGGAAGACTACCAGAAAACTGAGAAGTCAACTCCCCTGGAAGAATTCGCAGGCCTAGGTGGCTACCTTATGAGAAGGGGCAGAAAGGGACAGGAGAGGAAAATGTTAAACTTTTTAAAATATTTTATTTATTTATTTTTAGAGAGAGGGGAAGGAAAGGAGAGAGAGAGACATCAATGTGTGGTTGCCTCTCACGTAACCCCCACTGGGGACCTGGCCTGCAACCCAGGCATGTGCCCTGACTGGGAATCGAACCAGTGACCGTTTGATTCACAGGCCTGTGCTCAGTCCACGGAGCTACCCCAGCCAGGGCGCAAATGTTAAACTTGATTCTGAGAACTGAAGCCCAGATGGTGCCGTGGGCCACCCTTCCCCGCCCCTAAAAAGGGAAAAGCAGGAGGTCCGGCTTTCCCAAGAATCACGCGGCTTCTAATCACTAAAACACCGTTTCTCCCCTGGCAACTCTCCACACCACCCACCAATGGGGCCAGCGGCCTCCCTCAGCGATTCCGTCCGAGCTGTGGGCACTGCGGCAGGAAGCAGGGGGCTCGTCGCTCCCACGCGCTCTGCCATCTCCAGCGACCCCACCTCCTGTCCTTCCCTGCGTGCTTATTGCGTCTGCCGGCCAGAAGGAGGATTTTCTATTCTTTTCTGGTCTACTTCTGTCACAGACCTTTTATGATTTCTAAAGCTTTTGCTTATTAATTTTTTTTTATTCAGGAGACAAACATCATTGATTACCATTAAAATGAATGACAGCAAAAAGAAAAAAATGAAAGCAAAATATGAGCTAACTATATAAAAATATGAACTATTTTAAGTGATTTTTTTCAGTATCTTTAATATCAGTATACCAAAGAACCAGAGAAAAATTTAAAATTGAGTGTCAATCATGCACTGAAATAATACTATACTTACCACTTTCAAAAAGGGTACAAAGAACGGAAAACAAATCTAGCAAATCGGCTTCACTTCAAAATAATGCTTACCCTCAAAATCTGAGGGCTGCTGTAGTAAGCCATGCCCAGGGCGTCGGTGTCTTCGCACTGCTCCAGGTGTATCCTTCTGGTGCACTTCACAGCTTGGTTCACCAAGAATGCTGGAGGCCACGCCATTCCCAGGGGGGAGAAAGTTAAAAAGAGAAGAAAATGTTCAACTGTCTGATGGCAACTGAAAAACTGTAATCTAAGTAAAACCACAAAATAAATGATGACACAGATATACCACATGTTTAAAATTGGGTTTAAAAATTATTTTTCAAACAGGTAATACACTCACGTGATTCAAAATTCAAAAGGCACAAAAAAGCATTGAGAGACGCCCCTTTCGGGCCCCTGTCCCCCAGCCCTCCGGAGGCAATCAGCATGACATTTCTTGTGCATCTTTCTGGAAATATGCTATGCAAATGAAAGCATGTGTATATATATTTTTAGTATTTCTTTCCCCTTTTGGAAACAAATGTACAATATATATTCTGCCCCTTGGTTTTTTCACTGAACAATATGTCTTGGAGCTCAGCCTGTCTCAGTACACGAAGAGCTTCCTCCTCCCCTTTTAAGGAATAATTAGTATTCCACTATGGAGGTGCCATAATTTATTCCGCCAGTTCCCCATTATCGGACACTTGAAGTCGTCTCTAGCTTTGCTGTCACAAACAATGCAACAATCATTATTTTGCACGTGGGCCAGAGTTTCTGTAGCACCAACTCCTAGAAGTAGAACAGCTCTGTCAAAGGGCACATTCATTCGCAATTTCCATACAAACTGCTACACTGCTCTTCGCTGAGGGCGCTCCAACTTACTGCCCCACCAGCTATGCAGAGGAGCGCCTGCTTCTCCACAGCCCTCCTTTGCCCAGGCTTTGCCAGTCCATTAGATGGAAATGGTCTCTCCATTTGGGTTTAATTTACGCTGGTCCTGCTGTGACCAAGGTTAAGGATCTTTCCAGCAGAATACACTGGCTTAAGCATGGGCGCGCCGGGGCCCAGAGGACTGCGCCACGGTCCGTGGAGCTTCCGGAAGGAGCAGCGGGGCCCACGGGAGGCAGCTGCGTGGGTTGCCTCCCGCTCCTCCACCATCTAAGTGAGCCTGAGCGAGAAACTGAGTGTTCCTCGGTTTCCTCATCTAAATAATGACAGGAACTCTACCTTAGATGCACTTAACACACAGCAAGTGCTTAACAGATGTCAGCTATTGACAAGCCTTAGCTCCGGCGAGGAAAGACCCTTCCTACCGAGTGCGCTGGCTCAGGTGGGGGGCTCCCCACCACTACGAGTACGCAAGCAGTGACGCCTCGGTGGAAACGATCCCGGCTCTGAACTACCTAACTTTGGGGCTTCTTTCAACTCTTAAGGCTCTTCTGTTCCTAGTGACGAAGCCCGTTTCATTAGGACCGCTGTGAAGTTAAACTGAACAAACTCTGCTTTGAGGAGAAAGGACACTGCCCGCCGTCTTACCTGCAGGGTTGTTATCGGTGCACAGGGACGAGGTGAGGGGAGAAGGAAACCTCAGAAACGAGTCCGAAGTCCGCAGGACAACGCCATACTGCAGGGAGAGCCACCGACAGCTGTCACGCTGTTTTTAAGGCATTCATTCGCTCAACACTCACCGACACCTACTGGGTGCCGGGCGGCATTTCAGGCATGGGGGGCACAGGGATGAGCAAGGAACAGGTATGGTCCCTGCCACCATGAAGCTGACATCCAGCTGCCCCTCCTTTTCTTTCAAGGGGGTGTACTTCTCTGCCTCCACGGACTGTGTTTTGCAGGCCTTTTCATTCAAGAATTCCTCTGGAGGGGAAGAAGCTGACCCCGTGCCTGCCTCTGCAGACAGGAACTCGGTGGCCCGGGACAGGGCTGAGGGGTCACTATTTTTCACTAGCAACACTTATTTAAATAACAGATACAGTATACGTTAACATCATTATATTGACATATGCCTTCCTTGCCAAAACCGAACCCCATGGAAATCTCCCACAATCTCCAAAACAAAATATATGGCTATTGGGCATCCAGCTAAATCTTCTTGACTTTAAAAATATCCAAAGGCCTTGGCGCCAGCAAGGGTGTGTGGAAACAACCCCTCTCCTCCCCGGGAGCTGGGAGTGGAAACTCCTGTCATCTTTCTGCAGGGCCACCTGGTGTCAACAGTTTAAATCTCCAGTCATGTTGACCAAGGTAACCCATTCATGGGAACATAACCTAAGGATTTCATCAAAGATACATGTATCTATAAAAATGTTCATCGCACACTACCGATAATGGTAAAAACTGGAAATGCATGTCTGTTGTTAGAACAGCTCAATAATAAAGGCGGACACAGAGAGAGAAGGGAGATGTATCAGCACCACGAGCCCCCAGCCCCGGCTCTGACAAGCTCCTTGCAGAGCCGGCGTCAGGCACACTGCGTCCCTCCCGCCAGGTAAGTAGCGGCCGTGGCGTGTGCGTAAGGTAATGCCGGCAAAGCTCTGCGTTGTGGCTGATACGTGGAAAATGCTCAAGAAGTGGCAGCCTTTATGCTGACAGAGGAAGATGCACGAGATGGATCACTGAGTGGAAAAGGAGGTGCATGGATCGACGTGGGTAACTATACACCCTGCTTCGGCACAACACTGTACGTATGTGAGATGCACTTCAAATCAGGAATCACGCCGGTGGGTTTACAGCGATTTGCAGTGTGGGTTTCTAACGGGGGCCTTTCCATGTCTACTTATGTACCTCTACGCTTGTATCTTTTAGACTAGCCCACATAGCTTTTATATCTATTTTAAAAAGATGCTTCTGCAAATTCTAGAGTTTAGTCGAAGTTGATGATGATCACATTGAAAGGTTTACCAAGGGAGAGATACGAAACAGCACTTGTCTTCTCTAAGTCTGTGAAGCTAAACACAGCTCTGAGGAGAGCGCGGGCACCCCACCCCTCCGCCGCACCTCCCCGGCAGCAGCGTGCCTCCAGCGCTTTGCTGCCTCTTCTGAAGTGGAGGAGGACAAAGAACTCTGCAAAGACAAATGCGAGCTTACCACAGAATAAATTAAGTTAAACCCTACGTTAGAATTGAACTACTCAATTTTAACTTTCATGATCGTTGATTTACAGGCACAAAATTAGGCTGTTTTATCTATGGAATATGAATTCCATGTCTCAGGCAGCTGGTTTTACTGGGAACACACTGAAAAAGTAACTTACAAGGATCTGCAACAGGATGAGCGGACTCAGGTTCTTGGCTCACCTCATATTTGGGCGTATTTGGAGCATCTGATTCGTCTGTGAAAGAGACATCTGCTTCTGCATTCAGTGAAAAGCCATCAGATGTTTTCATCAATTTATCAAAACTGTTTTCATCAGGCACTTCCGGATTAATAAAGGACAACGCAGGTTTATCTGTTTTTAGAAAAAAGCATTTTAAATCAGTATATAGTACCCTAGCCCTGACCCCAAGATGCCTCGAATCTGATGCACACGCAGGGCCCTCAGACCTGGCCTGTTTCTCTCGCAGTGCGGAAGCCATGGTCTCTAAAGCCACAGAAAACAGCACGGCAGCCAGTCACTTTCTCCGACCCGTGGACGGAGGAGTCTGTTCCACACACCTCCCGGGGGAAGCTGTCCCCGGGGGGCTATGGGCATGAAAGACCCTGTTTCTACCCTCACACCGCCACCTCCGAAACTGTGCTGTTTATGGAACAGGTAGAAGGAATCAGGCTGGTGGGTTCACTGGGCCAGTGCTATGTCAGAGAACATGACGATAATGGACCAGTCATCACCCCAGGTTACAAGCCCCAGCACGTCCACCTGAGTTTTCACTTATAAGGGAACAAAGTCAAAATGTGAATGTCTTATTCTGAAAAGGTGACAAAGCCTTAACTGATACAGCCATCAGTGTGTCTCTGGTCTTTGACGCCGATAACATTTTACACTTTACGGTGCTTGGGATCTAGACACCTATTTGAGCCAAACACTCAGATAAAAATAAAGATCCTGTTTTCATGCAAATATCCTAGGTAAAAATAAAAGAGAAAAAAGGAAATTGAAACCAAAGCTGAACCTGATTCTCAACCATTAAACCAGGAGGAAATAAAGGGGGGAAAAAAACCCTCCCATACTGAAATACATCTAGATTCCTATGCGTGTGGGCATATGATAAACACTTTTGAAATAAAGTATGAGATTTCGAGAGTCAACAACAGTTTCTTTACTTTTAAAGAACACACGCAGCTCCCTGTGAAATGACCTCAGAAGACACACCCGCGCCCAACCGCAGAATGGCTGCTTTACATCTAGCTAAACAGCACATTGTTCCACAACAGGTATTTTAGAAGAGAACAATTTTCAGAGTTTCACAAAGCACGTCACCATCAAATACTCACAGTTTGTAATGTGAATGCAGAAAACAGACGGATTGATCTGGTCGACAATTTTAAATACTCTCTGGGGTGGGTTTGCTGTGAAATTCAATGAATACATGGCTGCCTTTTGGCTACAAAACTGACTATCACCCCTGAAAATGAAAAGAAATAATAATACAAAGTTTTAAGGTACGTGCACACAATCTTAGCAAGATTATTTTGAAGCTGTCGGAGGTTTGTACTGTGTACCCTGCTAACGACTACGTGGAGATATTTATGAAAGTGCGATGCTAGAATTCAATCCATTTTTAGTTAGTGTATTCAGTGTTACAATGTTTGGCACTTGAAAGTTTTTCCTCTAACAGGGACAACATTAAGACAAGTAGAATAACCTTTAAGGAAATCTTGTCAAGTATGAAATATAAGTCAGTGTATAATTTTGATGTAATAAGCCCTGTAAACTCGGACAGAATCAATTACGTAAAATTTTGCAGAACTTTTATAAGTTATCAGAAGGGATCTAAAATTCCTTTTCTTTAGAATGAAGCCATCTTCAAAGGGCTGTGAAAATGAGAAAGTGTGAAGTCATCTGGAAGTGTTGGGGCTTAGAAGTGAGGGCACAGCCAGGTCTTCAACCAGTCCCAGCCTTTATAAAACTTAACCAATTTCCTGGCTGGCGTAGCTCAGTGGATTGAGCACGGGCTGCGAACCAAAGCGTCGCAGGTTCGATTCCCAGTCAGGGCACATGCCTGGGTTGCAAGCCACGGCCCCCAGCAACCGCACATTGATGTTTCTCTCTCTCTCTCTCTCTCTCTCTCTCTCCCTCCCTTCCCTCTCTAAAAATAAATAAATAAAATCTTAAAAAAAAAAAACTTAACCAATTTGACTCAAATGCAGATATGAGAGAGTGACGGAGATACAATGGAAATGGGATTGAACTCTACATCCTGCTTTAGGGCCTTTTCTTACTTAATATATAATCCCCAATATTCACATCATCAAATATGTTTTTGCAATACTATACTAAATGGCCTCATCGTTCCATCTCTGGTCAGGGCACACAGAAGAATCACCCAATGAGTACACACTCGAGCGGAACAACAAGCTGATGTTTCTCTCTCACCAGCCGAGCTGCCCAGCCAGGGCAAGCAGGATGATTTTCACCAATGACTGACCCACACTGTAGTCCAGGTAGCCAGGAAAAATAATCTGACTACAACACCCCATTCTCCAAGCTTCTTTACAATATTAGAAGTAGATGCTATTTCCTATTAGCCAATAAAAGAGTTTTTCATGGGAGAAAGACATTGTACTTCCAAAAAGCACTTAATCTATCAGGTATCAATTGCTACACATTGCTACAAGGTTAAATTTAAATTAGCTCTCTCTGAATATGTTAGTCCTATCTGGAAAAAAAATTAACTTCTTTAAGTGCTGCTGGGTTTTTTCTTGTTTTTTTTTCCCCCCCAAAAAGCTTTGAAATCTGAATTACAAGAAACAGATTATTCAGAACAGATTATTTCTTTAACTTGTAATAGACTGGGAACATCATCTCCCATTATTCCCCTATACAATATGAGTTGTGAGAATTCCTGGGAGATTTGCATGTCAGGAAAGTATAAACAAAGCCTTCCTGACTATCTGTTTAATTTACTGCTACAAGTACTATGTCCCAAACAAAAGCTGTAAAATTAAACTGCACCTTTCACCCTAGGCTATAAATAAAACTCATTCACTGACACAAAAGTGTGACACGTTATCTGTTTACAAATCAAAGTGAAATGTAATTCAATCTCTGAACACAGAGATGTCATTACACTCGTTAGTCTGCACTATCACCTGGCTGGATGCAAATGAGGGACAGATGCTCTTCGAGTTATGGTTTGGACAGCATGGCTTCCGAAGGGTGCAATGTTCAGGAAATCAGGTTGGGGTTTTTCAGCCTGGGGGAGTTTTCACATTCTGCCTCAAAATTTTATAACCTCGGTCCAATTGTATCCGAACTGCCATGTGTCACAAACTTACGTGACAACTGGAATTGAGCAACCGGAGAAGACACTGAAGTCCATGGGGCTGCAGTCGGGATCACAACAGCAGTTGACGTCACACTGTGCTGGAGACAGGTCACAGCCACACAACACAGCAACTACAGAAGCGAGAGGCGAGAGGCACGGCATCACAATCAGCAGGTGGTGACTGCCCCCTGCCACCGCGATGCACCACAAATCCATTTCACGCAAACATCCGCTTGATTTTTGCTATTGCACTCGGGGCAGATGTGTGAAGTGAAAATGAGTCCGTTTGAGCATGCCACAAGCTGGGGTTTCCCCAAAGTGGCTAATAGCCTCACTCACTTGAGAATGTTTGTGCCCTACCTACAAAGGCAGTGATTTGGTAAACTGACTGTGAAACCCAGACAGGTGTTGTTCAAAAATTTTCCGGGAGATGCTGATGATGGAGACAGGTTTAAGAACCAGCATGCTAAGGCACTTGCCTGACCATAAGAACTGCTGGTTTAATATTGCAGATCCCCAAGCTCCGCCTCTGGAGATTCTGATTCAGGGGAAGGACCCACTGAAGGCAAACCAGGAATCAGGGTTCTCAATCTTGCTCCTCTCTGAGATGTCACCTGCAGCTCTGAAGCTGAGCCCATACTCACAGGCAGCTGGCCAAGATTTCAGCTGGCTCAGGTGCTTCTCCTTGGGGTCTTAGAAATATCTTTGGTAATTTAGACACTGAAGCGTGGGGAAGTGTAGGACTCTCCCCACTTAGAAACTTTTAATTTTTAAAACTGATGACTATCTGGATTTTTAATTTCTTATTTCATTCTGGCAATGGTTTTCCCCTCTGTACAGAGGGGAAAAACCCTTTTGAAGAAATAGCAGAGCTTAAGAATGATAAATACTGAATTCGCAGTAGTAACTATTGCTGGGTAGGAGGGAATAAGATCAGCGCTTCGATTTTACCCCTCATGTTTTGTTTCTTTTTTCAAAAAAGGATTTCATTCGAAAACAAAAAAAAGTGTCTCAAGTAAATGTTAGTACAGAGCCCATACAACATTCTTATTTGTGTGCAGGAATTACGGTACTTCACAATAAAAATGAGTTCTGGAAAAAATGCAGCTCAAAGATGGTACAATAACTAAAAGAAATGTGTAAGGAGAAGGGGAAAGTTTTGTTAGTAAATGCACAGTCCTTTCTCAGCCTGAGACACAAAAAGTTTTCACCCTTAAGTTTACTCGCTCCTCCCTAGTCAAGGACTCCGTGTACTTAGTAAAACTATAACGCAACCCATGCAGGTAATGTAAAAAATGAATATTCACGTTCCATGCCTTATGTGTTTAAAATGACAATTTTGATCTGTTTTCCAAAACCTAAAACCATTGAAGGTAGCTATAAGACTACTAAGGACAAAGCAACAGTGTTTAATAATTGCACTTAGGAAAAATAGGTGTCTATCCCAGGATGTGAGTGTACTTAACCAGCCAACAAGTATCTGTTGAGCACTCGCAGTGCCTAAGTGGTTCTCAGCTGCTCTTCCACAGCTCCAACATCTGCATGCCTGGCTCAGACAGCAGGGTACTAATGAACAGAGCTCCAATTCCCAATGAAAACGATCACTCTTCTCTTCTACCTTTCTCCCATTCTGCAAATGGCTGTCCAGTTCTCCACTCGGAGTCAGCCTCTTGCTCTAACACATACCAGGGATGTAACCTACCATCAGGCAAGTAACTCGCCTACCAGAAAAATAGGGATAACCCACATCATAGGATTATTACGAGGACCATATGAAACATATCACAGGTGAAATACTTAGCACAGTACCTAAGCAGTGAGTACATGCCGACTGTCACTTACTACCATCATCATTACTTTCTCAGGTCTCAAGAGGGATCCTTTTAAAAAGACGAAGTGTGCCCTGGCCAGTGTGGTCAGTGGGTTGGAGCATCGTCTTGTAACTGAAAGGTTTGGTCCTGGGTTGGGGCACTTACAAGAGACAAGCGATCGATGTTTCTCTCTCACATTGACGTTCCTCTCCCTCTCTTCCCTGTTCTCTCTAAAATCAATAAGCATGCCCTCGGGTGAGGATAATAAGTAAATAAAAAGATGAAGTGAAAATTCACACCCCATACTGGAAAAACAGTCCTGAACACATGTCCTAACACTGATGGTTTAAAGATAGCTTCATTCTGGGAAGAAAGTTCATTAACAGATGGAATACTTTCAAGGATACATGATAACCCAGACTAAAAACATTAGAGAATTTTCAGGCATTGAGCACCCTGCTGTATTCTGCCACAATTTATCACTGATTTAACCTCCTTACTAATTCATCAGATCAACGGCTTCAGTATAAGAGTTTGGGTTTTATATATTGAAATAGCAAATATATTTCTCTGTACTTTTTCTTACAGACTGCTCAACTTATAAAGGAGGCCCTTTGGAGAAATAATGGTTCAGGATGTCAACCAATGATGACTTTTCTATTCACTAATACTGAGCCTTATTCATTTTTATGGAAAAAAAAAGATCCTTTTCTCTTGATAAAAAATACTGCCTACCTATTGCAGTTACAGTCAGAGAACTTAACTTTTCTTTTTTTAAGATCACAAACCTCTGAGAAATTACTCACTGCTGTGAACCTTCACCCCAGGAAAATGCATTTTCACAAAATGGTGCACTCAATCTGGGGATCACTGACATCCCCTGAAGTCATTCACGTCAAGTCTGATTATGTTCAATAAACGTTTACCTCCAGGATTAGGTCACATTCTGGGAAATATGTTACTTATGCCTAAAGATGAGTCCTAATTAGTGGGCATAACTCCTCACCCCATAGCTTCCCCCTCCAACTCAACACAAGAGGAATCCTAGGTTTTCATAATTCAAATAAGTGGATAAGGATAACGGCCTTGACCTTGTCACATTTAGTAAGCTACACTTTTGTTGTCCCTTTTTTATCACTGAAAAGTTTCAGTGCACCCTCTGCATTTAATTTTCACAGCTGTCTAGAAACTTTCCATTTAATTTCATCTTTGGCTGCAAAGCTGCAAGACTTCCTTCGTTACTACCTTTAGCATTGATGTCGTGCAGGACCACTGCCAAGATTTCGAAGATTTGATATAGTCTCGCTTCCGCTCTCTGAGCCTCGGTTCTCTCACCGGTATGACAATCTACCTCTAAAGGTTGTTGAGAGAATGCCTGTGAAACACCTAGCAATGCTTGCACAAAGTAAGTGTTCAAAAAACGCCAACCATCATTATTATTACATCCCTACACGGACTACCCTCTGCAGGATGGATCACTGTGGATCCCCTGGAACTGGCACGTGGTACCCACCGTCCGTGACCGGGGTGGGCCTGGGACTGGAGGGTCCGGGAGCCATGGGAGTACCCGGGGGCCTAGGAGACAGGGCAGGTCGGAGAGTCGTCGGGGCTGGCTCCGCAGAGTTGAGGTCCTCCGTCGTCACCGCCGGGGTGGCCCCGGCCTGGGCGCTCACGGAGACCCAGCAGTCCAGAACCACCAGCAAGAGTGGAGGAAGGGCCGGTGGCCCCATCGCCAGGTCGAACCCCGCGCGGCCAGCGACCGTGACCCTGTGTTGCCGGGCAACCGCGGCGGCCAGGCACGGGGCGTTGCCAAAAGTGCGCCGCTAGATCACGCGAGACTAAGGATGCGGGGGCGGGGCCTAGGCCCGGAGAGGCGGGGCCGGGCCGGGGCGGACCACTAGGGACTGGGACCAGCGGCAGTGTGAGACCAATGGAGTTGGGGGGCGGGGCGGGGTGTGTATCCGACCTCTGGTTCCCGGGACTATTGCGGCGCTGGTTTAAAAAATTCGGATTTTCAGGTTCAGAGGATTCTGACTCAGTAAGTTTAAGGCAGAGGCCAGGAATCAATATTTTCAACAAATGTATTGACGCAGCCGGTGGGGGGAACAGAAATTTCGGAACCGCTCTCCTAACGCTACTAAATAAGGACCTTTGAAGGAGCCAGAGATGACTACATCACCATCCTTGTATTTTCTCTTACCCACACTGTCAACACTTGCTTTGCCCCCTTTTTTTTTAGATGTGTCACGAGAGGTGGCCCGATAATTTCTGTTCAATAAGTCTTAAAAGTATTTCTACTGTAATTGTACAAAATGGCATGAAGACCCTCGAGACTTAGGGAAGCGCCTCCATTCCACACTGGCTTATGTATAAGGGCTCTCCAGCCTGGGGATGTTGGCTATACTCTTCATACTTAATCTTACAATTCAGGAGTAAATGTCAAAATACTTAAACATGTGGTATTTATTCAAGAAACACACTTACAGAGAAAGACTCCTTGCTCCTCCTTCCCTGCACATCCCCCTGGAAATAACCCCTTTTCTGACCATAGGAAGGGCTAAACGTTAAAGCCAACTCTTGGTGGGCGGTGTGACTCTCAGTAAGCCAGCAGGAGGAAAGAACCCGCCAAAGAAGGACCCAACAACAACCAAAACCCAATTACAACAAGAGGGCCCACATAAAGAGTATAAAGGGCATCCCAAGAGCATCCAGCTCAGGAAATCAAGGAGTCTGCACCACTGAGTCCTACAGGTCTCCTACCACAGAAGCCCGCCCCACGAAGACAGGGAGTCACAGCAGATCAATCTAATATGCAGAAACACATTTGTAAATTCAGAAGAATGCCCACACAGTATATGTACCTAGTTTATTAAATTTATATACCAAAGCAAAATCATCAAAGCGACACCTTTAGCACCTTCCTGTGGCATTCCAAAGTGTATAAAAACATAACTGAATCAAATGTGTAATACAGATATCTCCCTTTTCTTTCTACAAAGGATTGCTTTAGCATCTGACTGAATTTCTGGAGCACTTTTTAAAAAAACTTTTTTGTTTATTGATTTTTAGGGAGAGAGAGAAACATTGGCCCGCCGGTCCATCCGTCCATGCACTCACTGGTGGATTCCTGTATGTGCCTCAGCCAAGACAACCCAGGCACAGCAGGACAATGCTCCAACCAACCGAGCCACCTGGCCAGGGCCTGGAACACTTTTAATAACTGATGTAATTCTGCCCTTAAAAAAAAAAACCCACTGTATTTTCCAAACCTTCATCTCATAGCCTGTAAATCCAATACTTATTGCTGTTGGTTTTTTTAAACCTTTACTTCCAGGTACTTTATTTTCCATTCCTTAGTGTCTGTGAATCACTCTGTCCTATTTTCTGTTTTGAAATTTTAGGCTGTTGGTTTAAACTTTGAAAAAGTGCCCTTCAGCTCTAACATTTTTGTCTTGGTGCTTTATGGTTTAGGAACTAATCTCACCATCCCTTTTGTCTAATCTCAAATACTTGGTAGCTTACAAAATCCAAATGAGGGTTGCATCCACTCAGATCCATTTTGCAGACCTTGGGGAACAATAAAACTGCATGTCACAGGGGACCCAGATCTGCCAGGCATTTTTTTCTTTCAGTCCAGATGATCCTGTCTCCCTTCCTTCTTCTCTGGCCTTGGTGGGTTTTCTCATCAGGATGGAAGGACACAAGGAAGGGCTAAGATTTCCATAGTTTGTCCAAACCTGCAGCGTTTGGGTCGTGCGTAAATGTTTTTGATTTAAAATGTCCATCTGTTTCTCCAGGATTATTGGCATTCTCGGTTTCTTATCGTTGGTGCCAAATGTTGGGAGGGATCAAGACAATTCAGCTTTTTGGAATTCTGCACTTGGAAGCTGCTGCCTATGAGCCCAAAAGCCCAACGACAGAAGGAGCCAGGAAGAAAAGTGGCTAAGGCTGACTTTACGAGGCAGTGCTGACCACTCTGTCTTGGTCTCTCCTGCGGTCTGGGGGGAGTTGGTTATCGTTGTTATGAAAGTCGTGGCTGCTAACTTACCTAAAATTGAGTACCCAGGTTTCCCTATGATTAAGTGTATCCATCCATCTTTATGTATTCATCTGAGCCAAGTATTTTACAAACAGGGAGGAAGAATCATCGAGCTTTATGAAGGCATTGTTTAGAGCTCCAGGGAAATTCAAGGCTGTGTGAGGACATCAAGGATTGATTCTACTGTTTTGACTGAAGTGAGCAGTCCAATAATTGATGTCTAAATCAAACCCAGAAGAAAATACTGCTCAACTTCTCTTCCCATCGCCCATGTGCCTTGTCAGCTACCCGGTGCTTCAAATGTTTTCCAAAACATTATGGGGTGCAGAAGGGTTGTTTGAGCAGACTTCACATTCTTGAAAGGTGTCGCATTTACAAGTTGGACCTTTTCTGAAAATGAAGTAATAAATATGGTTGCAGACATACACACGGAGATAAAAAAAAAAAAAATCATTCCTGCCCTGGCTGGCGTAGCTCAGTGGATTGAGTGCGGGCTTCGAACCAAAGCATCACAGGTTCGATTCCCAGTCAGGGCACATGCCTGGGTTGCAGGCCATGGCCCCCAGCAACCACACATTGATGTTTCTCCCTCTCTCTCTTTCTCCCTCCCTTTCCTCTCTAAAAATAAATAAATAAAATATTTAAAAAATAAAAAAAATCATTCCTTGTTTACCAGACAATTTTAAACTTGCATTCTATTATTGGACCATACTGAAGTTTGAATAAACTAGTTGGCTTTTTAAGAATCATGGGTGTACAAATATCTCTTCAAGAGCCTACTTTAAATTCTTTGGATATCTACAGGAAGTGGGAGTACTGGATCATATATCATTCTATTTTTAAATTTTTTAGGAACATTCATACTGTTTTCCATAATAGCTGCACCATTTTACATTCCCACCAATCAGTGCACAAGTTCCAACTTCTCTCCATCCTCTCCAACGCTTTTTCTTTTCTGCAAAAAAGCTTTATTGTTTCCATTTGGTCCAATGCAAGGGAGAGGGTTCCAGGGTAGTTAAAAGGGTGTCTTGTGGTTTCAGGGAGAGGCTCAGGCAAAAGCCAAATGCCAGAGAAATACAGAGGGGTCCCTCAAAGGCTTATGGGCCCCAAAGGCTTCCTAGTCTTGCTTGAGGGGGCACCATTTGAAGAGACCACCCAGCCCAGCATGGGGGCTAGCCAGCGTTTGGGTGTTACTCAGGTGGTCGCCCGTCTTCTGGGTGGGTGTCAACTGCCCATCCAGGAAGCGGTTCTGCGGGAAGTCACAGAGCTGAGGGTCTGTGCGGGCAGAACCCAGGGCAGGCAGGTCCGACAGGGCCCGGGTCGGGTTCCTCTCCAGGACCGTGGTGGCTGCCCTGTGTCCTGAGTGTCACCCCATTCATCTAGGGAAGGCTTCAGCTTGTTCTAGAAGACAATGGCGCTGGTTTTGCATCTTTAAGAGATGCTCAGAGCGCTCCTGCTTCTCCTCGGCCAGCTCGTGGAAGAAGTGGCCCAGGGCCTCCAGAGCCACATCATTGGGGTCTAGACAGAAGCCCAGAGCGAGGTAGGTGTAGGGGCCCGCAGATGCTGGGTGACCAGGCGGTTGAAGGCAACCTCCACCCGGGTGGAATAATTCTGATGAATTTGGAGCTCATGGTTGTTTGGTAATGAAGAATTACAGTTAAAAAAAAAAAACGGTGTTGGCTGGTCTTGGAGGCTGAGGATGGCTGAGGTGGTTCCGAAGGCAGTGCCTGGAAAAGAGGTTGGAGGTAGTTGGAAAAGAAGGGGCGTCCCTGGGTCTGTTCCATCCAAACCCTGTTGAAGCAAGAGACAGATCCCAGGACCGCCAGTGGGTGGCGCTGTCCAACATTTATTTTCTGTCCTGTTGATAGTAGTATCCTGAAGGGTGTGAGGTAATTATCTCAGAGCGGTTTCGATTTGCATCTCCCTGATGATTAGTGATGGTGAGCATCTTTTCCTGTGCTTATCGGCCATTTGTATATCTTCTTTAGTAAATTGTCTATTCAAGCCCTTTGCCCATGTGTAAAGTGGGTTTTTGTTGTTGTTGAGTTTTAGGAATTCCTTGTATATTCTGGATATTAACCTCTTATCAGATATTTGATTTGCAATTATTTTCTCCCATTCCATAGGTTGCCTTTTCACTCCATTGATCATATATTGTAACATATAGAAGTTTTTTTAAGTTTTATGGAGTCCTATTTGTCTATTTTTTCTTTTGTTGCCTATACTTTTGGTGTCATACTCATGGTGTCATTGCCAAATCCAGTGTCCTGAAGTTTCCCCCATGTTTTCCTCTGGGAATGTAACGGTTTTAGGTCTTAATGTCTAGATAGTTAACCCCTTTGAGTTAATTTTTGTATATGGCTTAAGGTGAGGGTCTAACTTCGTTCTTTTGCACATGGATACCCAGTTTTCCCAGCACTGTTTGTTGAAGAGACTGTCCTTACCCCATTGTGGTCTTGGCACCCTTGTTAAAAATCCTTTGGCCATATATGCAAGCTTTATTTCAATTCACTCCTTTGTCTTGCAGACAAGTGTTTGATAATGGGCATATTACAATTTCCTCATTCATTTACATTTGAAGGAATTAGAGTTTTCCAGTTTTCAGCAATTATAGGTAAAGCCACTATAAACATTCACTTACAGCCCTGGCTGGTGTGGCTCAGTGGGTTGAGCACCAGCCTGCGGGCCAGGTCCCCAGTAGGGGGCGCATGAGAAGCAACCACACATTGATGTTTCCCTCTTTCTCCTTCCCTTCCTCTCTCTCTAAAA